TCCTAACAAGCATCCTACAGATTAAATATAAACATTATTCTCATTTTATATATGAGGGTGAGCGAATTTAATTAACTTCCTCAAGATTGTACAGCTGCTAAGTGGCAGAACTGGAATTAAAATCCAGACAGTCTAACACCAAAGCCCCAGTCCTTATTTAACCACTGCTGGATAGTAGATAAACATATAGTAATAAATTGTGATTATTGGGATCTGTAGGGTACTGATTAATCCTAGCCTGCTTTTGCTGAATAGATACAGGGGTCAAATACAGGTGAAATATGTACTTTATTACTGTAAAGCTGGCATGGAGAATGACTTGGACAGGTGGCTCAAGTAGACTGCTTCTTTCTTCAATACTGAATTGGACTTGCACACTCAGTCACAGGCAGGTCAGTTAGAAACCGGTTTACATTCCTTGCTCCAGGAGACCCCAGCAGGCTCACCAGCGGAGGAGGTAAGCAGAATGTGAGGTGGAGAGCTGAAGGGGATGGGTCACACAGGAGCAGTGGCCACTTTCCCAGTCTCACTAGAGCAGTGAGGGGTTCAGAGAAGAATATGAACATACTTGGTACTTCCAGGAGGGAAGAAGTTACTATTTCATGGGCTCATAGGAACAAGGGGAGTGGGAGAGAACCCCTTTATGTAGGATGAGGAAGGAAATGACGACAGAATAACAGCTTGAGGCAGTTATAATAACCCTTCAATGCACCTCTGAAGGGGGGTGACTAAGCCCAGGCTTGGATAAGGATTTATCTGTGGGGTGGAGTAGAGATGGAAGTGGGGCAGAAGAGCGTCTCAGGAACCAGGAACTACCTGTAAACTGAAGAGTTTAAGGAACAGAAAAGAACCAGCACATTCAGAACATAGTGACTGAGGGGAGGGAAGGAGTAGCACAGGAGCAGGGTGGAGTGGTCATGGTGGTCGGATCACCTGAGCCTTGTAGGCTGTGGTAGGAGATGTGTATTCTATTTTATGTGCTAAGGAAATTCCTTGAAGGATTTGAAACAAGGGAGTGGTGTCATCTAATTTATAGTTTTAAAGGATTATATTGAATGCTTGTGGAGAGTATATTAAAAGGGAACAAAACAGGAAGCAGGGAGACCAGTCTTAGAAAACAGGCTGGTGATGAGGGTGACATAGACTAGTGTGGTAGCAGTGAAGTGAAGAGAAGTTGAATTTGAGATCTATTTTGGAGGTGGAAACCATAAGACTTTCTGATAGATTTGGATGGTGGCTAGGAGGCTGGAAGAAAAGGAAAAATAAAGGATGACACTCAAATATCTAGCTTAAGTAACTGAATAAAATGTCCATTTCTTGAGATAAAGGAGACAGGGAGAGGAATAGTTCTGGGTGGCCTGAACTTGCTAATTTTAAGCTGCTTATATGTTTTTGATACAGAGATGCCATGTACGCAGTCAGATTCTGAGAAGAGATTTCAGTGAGACACAAAGATTTGGGAGTTTTCAATATATAGATGGCATTTAACTTAAAGTCATGCATACAGATGAGATCATCTAGGAGAATGCAGGAGAGAGGAGAAAAGAGGGCCCAGCACCATACCCTGTAGAACTCCAGCATACAGAGCACGAGTAGAGGAACCACGTGCAATGGAGACAGAAAAGGAGCTGCCATGAAGGTCATAGAGAACCAGTAGAATGTGCTGATGTGGACTGCAATTTGGAAAGTGTTTAGAGAAAGGGGAAGTGTTAACCATGTCGGTGGCTAATCCAGAAAAGTGGCCATTTGGATTTGGTAATAGAGGTTAATAATGACCCGAAAAGAACAGCTTCAGTGGAATGGATTGAGGAAAGAATGGAGCAGAGGAAATGAGTAAGTTGTGTGGATCTTGTAGTTCTGTGCTTCTCAGACCTTAAGACAAATGTGAATTACCTGGAGATCTTCTCAAACAGTAGAGTCTACTTTAGGGCCTGAAATTCTGCACTTCTAAGGAGCCCCCAGATAATACCAATGCTGTTGGTCTACAGAGGAGCAGAGATATAGATTAGTGGTCCTCAAACTTCACTGTGTGTTAGAATTATGTGACGGGCTTGATAAAATACAGAGTTTAGAGTTTCTGAATCAGTAGCTCTGGGATGGCAACCGAGAATTTGCATTCCTTATAAATCCCCAGATGACATCGATGCTGTTGGTCTAGGGACCACACTTTGAGAACCAGGAGAGAATTTTAACTGTGATGGGGAGCTTCCAAGGGAAATGTTCTGTTTTTTGAGGGTGGGAACTAACTAGAGCATACTTAATTAGATGAGAACAATCCAGGAAATAGGGAGAAGCTGAGAAAGAAGAGAGAAGGGGAACAAAGGAGTGAAGTCATTGATAAGATGAGGGAGGATGACACCAAAGCATGGATTGAGGTCTTGAATTTTTAAAGGAAAGGGCATGTGTCCTCAGTTACAGCAATAGAGAAAGCAGAGAAGATGGGTCCAAGTGCACACGGGTTTGCAGATTTAGTGGGAGGCAGGTGGAGCTCCTTTTTGATGGTTTCTTTCTTCTCAGTGAAGACAAGGGCAGCTCCTGAGGAAGGAGGGTGTACAAATGAAAGTTTGAGGAAAGAGATGGTGTCAAATGATGACTTTGAGTAGGAAAGTGAACTTAATAGAAAAAAAAAGTGGCAGTATTGAGAGCATTTGAGGTTAAGTTCAGAAATTAAGAGTAAAACCAGTCTGTATGACTGTGCATTCTTTTTTCTTCAGAGTTAGTTCTTAGATTCAGACAAAGAGAATCAAATAGTTGGGATCATCCAAAGTTGAACTTTATCCAGGTAAGTACATCAGAGAGAGAGGGTGGGAGGGCATAAGGAAGCCCCCACACAGGCTAAGCCAGGCAAGAACAGAAATGAGGACAGGAGAGGGCTGAAGGATAGAAACAGTCAATGAAGTGTTGTAGTCAGCGTACAGGGAAGCTAGAAGTAAACTAAAAGGCATAGGAGGTTTGTGATGGAAAACCAGTGCTGGCATTCACAGTTTTGTAAGCAGGCAGCTCTTGGTGGTGGTAGAGGTGCAGGGTGTGACCATGGAGGTGGTTGGATAAGGTGGAGTTTCCTGGAGAGGTCAGGAAACTGAGAGGCCAGGAAGTTGGACGTATCCTCCACCTGGATGTTGAAGTTGCCAAGAATGATGACAGAAGTTGGGAATGGAGAGAGACTTTGAGATAGAAACTAACTTTTCAGTGAATGGTGGAAAATTCCAGGTCAGTGGATAACAGCCACAAAGAGGCAGAAACGGTCATGAGCAGGAGCTTTTGTAAATCAAGGGGAAAGTGATGGTCTGGAAGTGGAAATGGTTGGCAAGAAGGACATCTACCCCACCTGCTAGCCATGAGGTACTTGGGATATGAGAGAGAATATCCACTCTCATGGCAGGGCTATAAGAGAAGTAGTGTCTTCAAGGTACAGGCTAGTTTCTGTTAAAGCAAAGAGGTGGAGGAAAGTTTCGGAAAAGGAGTTGAAGATTTACAGGAGTTTCTTACAGATTCGGAGTTGAAGAGCAGAAACATAGTTTAAGGATTTGGGAGTAAAGGGAAGGGAACCTCTGGAGCAAATACAGTCATATGGGGAAGATAGTTTGGTCATAATGGATGATCTGAAAGTCTTGAATGTGCCCTTTAGAGACCAAGATAAACAGGAGGATGAGGCATAATGGAATTAGCCCAGTCTCTAAACATAATTAAAATACACATCAAGTTTCTTGCTGTACATGTCCTGTATGATCTAGCCTCAGCCTCTATCTCTGACCCCTTTCTTTTCCACTCTCCCCTTGCTCCCCATGCTCCACCTACACAGACCATGTTTCTTCTGTACTCCAGCATGCCTTATTTTTTCTAATTCATTTCTTTCCCCCTTGGTTTGCACCTGCTCTTCTGAGAGGCAGCATTGCAAAGTGGTTAATAGTATGAGCTCAGGATCCAGACTCCTCGCTCTGCCACTTTCTAGCTTTGTGACCACGGGCAAGTTACTTAACCTCTCTGTGCTTCAGTTTCTTTATTTGTAAATTGGGGAATGATAATAGTACTTACTTCTTAGGGGTGTTGGGGAATAAAAGAGTTAATTAAAAAAATTAATGTAAAGGGCTTAGAACAGTTCCTGGTATGCGGTAAAGATTCAATAAATGTTGATAATATTTTTTCTTCTGCTTGAAGCTCTTTTCCCCTCTATCTTTAGTGGTGCTATTTTCTCATCATTCAGTTGTCTCAGCTCAAATGTGCTTCCTCAGACATCCTATCTAATGTAACGTAACTCCACCAGCTTTCTCTTTTGCCCATTATTCTGTTTTATTTAGTCATAGCAATCATCACTATTTGAAATCATTTTATTATTTTGCTCTTACCCTCTTCCCCCATCCCCTGTGGGCAGTGATATGTTGACTTACTCCATACTGTATCTCAGCTTCTAGAAAGTGATAGAAAATTTGTAGATGCTCAAGAAATTTTTGTGCCAACTCATTGTCCTGAAAATATGGTGGTTTTCAAAGCCTCTACTCTGACCAGACAGCATATGGTGGCAAGGTGGCAGGGAAGCCTGGGCAGAGAAGACAGAGAAAATCCAGCTTTTTGTGTACCAGTCTATTGGCTCATCTAGAGCAGGTGGCTGCCTATTTTTGTGTTATTGGGGCACAGTCACATCCACTTAAAAATTTATTATCTTCTGCTTTTCAGTTCCAGCCAGAGTTGAATGGTTGAGACAGATCCTAAGCTTCACAAAGTCTAAAATACTTACTATCCAGCCCTTCACTGAAAAAGTTTGCTGATCTTAGATTTAGATGCATTAAAAAAAAAAAAAAAGACGAGAAGAAAACACCAAAAATAATAACAGACGATTACTTTGGATAGTGGTATTATAGGTCATTTTATTTTTTATCTTTATACATTATTGTATTTTGTTATAGACCCATTTAATTTGGAAATGAAATAGCCTTATAAATACTAATTTTGATGTATTTAGAGCGCATTTAATGATGGGCTTTTAATGTTTTTTTCCTTAGTGCTGCTTTTGACACAAAAACAGGGTTACGTGTCGCAGTGAAGAAGCTATCGAGACCATTTCAGTCCATTATTCATGCCAAAAGGACCTACAGAGAACTGCGGTTACTTAAACATATGAAACATGAAAATGTAAGTTATGAATTCAAGGAAGAATAAATCCTGCTGTTGAATAGACTGGAAAAAATTGTGTTGTAATTACTACAAATGGAAATGCATTAGAGTACATCAAACTTTGGACCATCCTTCTCATACTGGGGTGCTAGTGGCCGCTGTGTTATGTCAGGTAGCCACGCAAAGGCTTAGGATGAAATTGGTACATCTTCCTGGAGTTCAAGTTTTACTTAAAGATTTTCAGAGGGAAAGCGTATAAACTTTTTTTTATAATAAAAAAGAATATATTATGAGGTACAACACAAACTCTGTAAGGATTTTTAACAGAAAATATTACAAAGAAATTTTATATTCTTTACCTGGTTTACTTAAGGCTGTATTATCAGAATGTAGGAATCTAAGGTATTTTGTGTTATGGGTTCAGTGAAGTTTTAGGAAGAGTGCCTTAGGTTCACGGAATGTCCTTCAAAGATGGCTGTTATTTTATGTATAATTTAATATTATAACTTTTCTTTTTAATTTTCAAAAGACAGCTTTACCAGATTCAGGTGTTTTAATAAATGTGACAAAGGCATTGTTTAAGTTAAATACAATGTTTTCTTTTCTATCAGTTTGGAAATTTAAGACAATGCCATCCTGCAAAGGAGTGCTTAAACATCCTAATACCATAAGTAAATGGATGCGGTTGAAATATTAACTGAAAGTGAAAAAACAATTGACTGAGGACACTTATTTTCCTGAATTTCAAAATCAAGTTAAAAAGGATTTATGTTACTGCTGTATGAAAGGAACTGTAAAATTTGTAGCACTGTAGAAACAATGGCCATAGAGATTTTAGTCACTTGACCCTATTAATGGTTACTGTCTAGAAAAAAATTCAAAAATCTATAAATATAAAAAACAAAAATAAAAATAAAGATAGTGCAGTCCAAGATGAGTGGATAAAAAAAAATCTGTAAATATATTACTTGGCTATTTAGACTTTGTTTCAATAATTAAACTTTTTTTCTTCATAGTAAGAAAAAAGTCACAGATATGTGATACTTTATTAGCATGCATTTGTTTCACAAAGTACAGATTTCTTCTAAATTGATAGCATTGCAGTTTAAATTTGGAATCGGGTTATGCACGCTGTTGTAATCACAGCTGCAGCATCTTATTTATTTTCATGTTTTAATTGCGTACTGTTGAGAAAATCCTGTTTTCCACAGATAACATCTATTCCTAGGTGTAATTTTATTTAAGCATTCATGTGCAAACCTGAATTTTTAAAAGCTCAGTGCAGAGCTGCAGGCTTCTAATCAGTGACATGTTTATAAGAAGTTGAGATATGTGGGAAAAGCTGGCAGGAGAAACTTTTCTTCCAAAGTCTGCATAAAATCAATGGCCTGTCAGCTTAACTGATAGTTTACATTTGGTTTTTAACACAGTTGAGTGTGTATGCTGTTTTTCATTATACATTAATAAATGTGACAGAGACATTGTTATAGCTTTTTAAATGTAAAGAGTACTTTGAAAATGGAATGCAAACCAAACATTTATGGAACCCCAAAGCGCCTTCAGGAGGCCCCAGGGTCCCACTGATGTTACCTATGCCAATTTAAGAACATGTAGTTTAGAAGGTTACTAACACTGTAATTTATTGTTTTGCTTTTTTATTTCATAGTCAATTTAAGCCAACATTTAGGGCAAAAATTATTTTAGATTATCTGAATCTATGCCTTGGCTTTTCTAGCAATCATAAGAAACAACCTTTTTTTTTAACATTTTTTATTGATTTATAATCATTTTACAATGTTGTGTCAAATTTCAGTGTAGAACACAATTTTTCAGTTATACATGAACATATATATATTCATTGTCACATTTTTTTCTCTGTGCGCTACCATAGAAACAACCTTCTTTAGTATTTCATATTTAAATTTTCTGTGATGAGGTACTTTGAAATATGTCTTACATGATATTGGGCTGGTTACATCTGGGCCATTCTTTATGTGTAGAAATCAAGAGGCCACAGTGATGGGATGCAATTGTTTTAATTTAGGCAAGGCTGCAGGACTTTAAAAAAATGGGACTGACAGTAAAAGGAAAACAGGATTTCACTTTATATAAGCTGTTTTACAAGCAGCTTGCTAAGTAGCAGCCCCTCTTTTATATTAAGATGTTTAGGTTTTCACAGTATCCATGTAGAAAGTCACTTATACTTAGATATTGGTGATTTATTGTTGGAACAAAAGAAGGTACGTGGCTGAATGTTTCATAGTTTTGTGTTGGCAAATGTTTGAAGAGGGAATGGGGCCAAAAGACTTAATGTAGAACATTTCTGGAATTTTGGTCGATTCTACAAATGCTTGTTAGGTTCACACAATGTCAAAATACTTTTGCCAGGTGAAGAACCAAGGCTTCCAAGTAAGCTTGACCAAGGATTTTAAGAGGAATTCCTCTCCTCTTTCCTTCCTTCCTTCCTTCTTTCCTTCCTTCCTTCCTTCTTTCCTTCCTTTCTTTCTTTTCTTTCCCCTTTCCTTTCCTTTCCTTCCTTCTTTCCTTTTGGGCTACTATCCAATTTTTACCTTGCAGCCAGGCCTCCAAAGACAACAGCAGGAGCTTAAAACTCTGGAAAAATTTAAGTAAGTAATTGGTAAAAAAATTGATTTTTTAGGTGCCAGAACGCACATGTGATCTTTTACCTAAAAAATGCCTCTGATTCATAATCCATAGTTCATCTTAAGTTATTTTTTTTTATTAGTGATAATGAGTAACATATATAACTTTCCTATGTGTTACAAGAGCTAGGGGATGTCCTCTGTGACTGTAAGAATTATTCTCTGAACAAACTTAGCTGGTCCATTGCTGATTGAACTTTTGACCTTAATCTTATTAATAGCTGCTCTAAGGAAAGATTAAAGGGAAGCAGCCTGCTAGCTGCATCCTTTTGTTGTCTGAATAGGTACCACAAATATTGCCTAGTTAAGGGCCTAGAGATCTATACATTTTAAAGTTTTAAAATAATTAAGGGAACCCTTTCATAAATTTTACTTGAGAGTCTTAGATTCAATCTTACCATGATAGACCAAGTGATTGTTTTGGTTTACTTGGGTTAAATATATTAAATATTGTCTTTGACTAGTCACTGAGCTAAAGTGTTTTTTTGAGTGTATACCAATTTAATAAAGATGTATTACTTCTGTCTGTCAGCTTTTGGATCATTGTAGAACAGTCATCAGAGAGATTTGCTGATTATTTGTATTGTAAATGTCTTTTCTAAATATTTAATTCTTGGGTTACTTTTAAATGTCTGAAATCATATAATGGCAGAAGAAGTAAGGAAATAGGCTAAAATATGACTTGAATTAAAACGATATTTCCATTTAAGAAATGAGAGATGAATAGATTATAGAATGTTCCCCAGATCTATTTTAATGCTAGGAAACTTTTTGTCTTGCAATATTTATGACTAATACTCCATAAATAGAATCAATAGAGAAGGGATATTTGGAAAAGCCCATAAAACATTAAAAATACTTTGATGTAACACGGGTAGCTTTAATCTCATAAAAAGTGTCCCTTTTAAGGAAATTAAAATTTGACAGGGTATTTAGTAAGATTTTAATAGTAAAATAGGTTATTATGGAAGGTGATGTTTAACAAGTAAAAAACAAAAACATAATTTGGGTAAAAACAAGTTGGAGTTATTATTAAGTATATGATAATGTAATGTTATTGAAATAAGGTAGCAGGATTTGGAATTAGTTCCTATTAAAATGACTAAGACCTGATGGGTCCTATAGTAAGTTCAGTATTTTTTTATCATTTGATTTTTGTTTTCATATAGGTGATTGGTCTGTTGGATGTTTTCACACCTGCAAGGTCGTTGGAGGAATTCAATGATGTGTAAGTAAATTTGTCTTTGCCTTCTTCAGCTAGAGGTTGAAGATTAGCAGCCCATTTCTACTCCTGAACCACTTAGCAGTATCCGACTTAGATTCTTTATTCCTGTCATCCAACTCTTCTGGGGATTGGGAATGGATACGAGAGGTGTATATTCTGTGTGGTGTATATTAGTATTTTCATTGTCTCAGGCACATTTGTCTCCTATTTGGAGAGACAGTGCTGGGTCCTTGCCAGAGTTCCATAGAAAAGAGTATAGGGAGTTTTGACCATGATTTTTATTCTCAAATTGTTACTTTAAAATGGAGAAATGTAATGGAGCTATGGTTCCACATGGGTTCTTCCCTTTCTCTTATCCCACCTGTGTGTGGGAAATGGTACTAGAACTGTATTATGAGCCTCCAAGTATTGGATTTCTGTTCTTTGACAAGGGGCGGGCCTCACGTGTTTAGAAAGCTGACAGATAGTGTTAATTCTCTAGGTTTCTGACCATCTGTGTTGTTTTAGCCTGGGAACCCCCCGGAAAGCAGAGTCTGAGATTCTCAGGAACCAAGAATCAGGGGCTAGGGAAAGTGAAACAGGGAGGGAGAGGAAGTTGCTACAAGGGTGCGTTATTAAGTTGGTCACCTTGTGGGCAGCTGGACTGAAAACCGCCAGGATCTTCTAGGAAGCTGTACAGAATGCACCTCATTTATCTGAGCCTGTTCTAACATTTATCCGCTGGCTCCTGACTCCATTGGCAAGGGTTGCCCCATGGGGAATTAATGTCCTCAAAAGCCCAGGTTGCACATGTGTGAGTACAAGGTAAATTCCAGCAAATGTTCTGGATGTTGTGCACGTGTTGTGCATGTATGAGTGCTCTATTGTAGCTTTCCCAATGTCTGAATTAGCATACCTTCCTCCCATCTTCAACTCACAGATACATCATACCATAAGAGAGACAGAACACCTTAAATTTAGAGTTATACATTGTGTCCTGTTGAAATTTTGGCATTCCTAACTGGAAAGGATGACTGTTGTGAAAATCAGAACAAAATTGCAGATTATGGCTGCTCTTCCTAAACCTCTACTCCCCGTTGTCCCCAGTGCTGAACTTAATCAGTTTCTCCCCACCCTTATCCTGGGTTCATTTTCTCCTACTCTTATCCTTGGCCAAGTGCAAGCACCATTTACTCCTTTCCCAGAGAACAAGCAGGAGGGTTGTTTGAACTTGTACCTTCTGTCTAATGAAAGAGGAACAGAAAAAGAAATGCAGGCTATGAAATGGAAAGAGAAAGAGGAAAGGCAGCAAAATTTTCCCCACCATTTGAACTTAGTTGGAACATGATATGACTGAGAGTAGAAGATGAGAGAGGAGAATCTGGTCTAAGTGCAAGAACTCCCACCCACATTAGCCTTGATCCTGTTAAGGAAAGTTTAAGAAACAAGCAAAGAGAAAAAAAAAAAGGCAATAACTAAGAACAGCTGTGCTTCCTGAGCCCCACTTGGCACTATAACGTGGAGGCTTTCAGAGATTACTGGATGCTACCCAGGCAGGCAAGTTGTTGAGCCCTACTGTAGGCTGTACTTGGAATATTGCAGAATAATGCTTCTTTTCTTTAAAATTAATTCATTAATTTTTACTTTTTTAAGGATTTTATTTGTTTGGAGCAGCTTTGAGCTTAGAACAAAATTGAGAGGGAGGTACAGGGGTTTCCTGCTTACCCCCTGCCCCCTATATGTGCATAGCTTCCCCAGTTATCAACATCACTCACCAGAATGGTATATTTTTTTACCAAGAATGACGTACATTGACACATTGTAATTACCCAAAGTCCATAGTTTACCTTAGCGTTCACCCATAATGTTGTACGTTCTATGGGTTTAGACAAATGGATAATGACATAATATCATGATAATATTTACAGTATATTTTCACTGCCCTAAGAATGATGGGTTTTGATATTCTGCCTAAATGTAGGGAAAATGCTGATGTTATTGGTTTGTAAATTATTTTGGAAAACGCTTGAATCAAGTTTGAGCTATATCCCAAAATTTTAGGTGTAACGAGGGTGGATTTATTTAAGAAAGGAATTGATGATTTGCTGACCTGAGCAAATGCTGTATTTTGCCTTAAGCAGTCATATGGACGTGGATTATGAACCTGTTTATCTTTTATAAAAAGACCTTATTTAAGGCCAGTGTCTTTTGAGAGGTTAAGTTTTATCCATTGTAGCGCTTTTGCCCCTTCTATCCATTTGAAGGGACCCGACTACAAGCATACTCACTGAACTGAAGTTGCATTTATTTCTGCATTCATTCAACAGATACCATGACTGCTGAGCAGGAATCTATTCTTTCTGCTTAACTGTAGCTGGCTTCTGAATATTTACTTATTTATTTCCAGCTTAATGGGCTATAACTGACATACAACACTGTGTAATTTGGGTTCTGATTGTTTATAAGCCAGAGCTTACTTCACTTCTTGGGAACAAATCTCAGTGACTACTCATTGAATGCTTGCTGAGCAGAGTGTTAGAACAGGCTCAGAATAATGAGAAACACTGGTCTTTCCCCCTGATGAAATAAAAATCTTTTTAGGGGAAATAATTCAGAGCACTTTTGTAACCAAATTACCAGTTGGCCATGTGACCTTGGACAGGTCACTTTGCCTCTCTGGGCCCCAGTTAACTTCCCTGTAAAATGACAAAGTTTGAGGTGGTTTTCAATCCCAGAGAATCTATGAATATAGAATGATAAATCTAAGTTTACCTTTTGGAAAATGTTTCATTGTTTATTTTTTATGGTATGTATCACTAAGAGAAAAGTAGTGCTTGTCCAGGACCATGGTTATTTCAGTGTTTTCCAAAGTCATCTTAGAATTTACTCAAGAGATCAAAGATCTTCAGCTACAATTGCAGGGTTTGCGAATTTAAATACCTTTAGGGCCAGACAAATGACATAAACTAGGCTCAGTGTGATACAGTAGAATACCTGCACTTCCTTAAAGTATTCAAATTCACATTGAAACAAAATAAGCAAACAAACAAAAACCCACTAGTTCTGGCCAAATCAAATGAGCTGAAGACTAGTGTCAGTCCATAGGCTGCCAGGTTTGGAGCAGACCGTAATTTTGAGCAGGAATTTTCTGTGCTAATGAACAAAATCCCTAATTGCTTTTCATATTTATAGTTGGCTTTTAACGTTATGTGTATTTGTGCCTTTGTGCTTCTGTTAGCACTTTTCATTTATCATACAATTTAAGTTTTTACTGAACTTTACAGTTCTCGATTAATAGGCATCCTGCATACTTCATTGTAAGACTATACTTTTGAAAAAGGAACAAAAAAGAGGTGGTGAGTTTTGATCATTAGGAACAGTGTGCAGTTACTGAGTCTACCTTCTCCTTCTAGCTTGCAAGCTCTATTAGAGCAGGGAGTTTGTTTTCTTCCTTGTTGGGTCCTTAGTAGTTAGAAATTTTCAGAAGTCAAGAGAGATGAACTGAATCACATAATACCACATAGAAAATTGCCCACATCTTGGTTCTTTTTTGGCTTTATTTCTAATCACATTTTTCTTGATCCAGAGCTATGACTATTACTTGAAAGTTTACTAACCCTTTTTATTGGGTAAATACTGATAGGTTCTACATAAGATATCAAAACTAAAGGCCCTCAGTTGCATATGGTCTTATTAATGAGATGAAACATAAATGCTTACCTAAAACAACTTAAAGGACTGAGTCAAATCTGCAATGTCAAAGCAATACACAGGGTATTAAGTGATCTCAGAATGTGAGAGCTTAGTGGAGGAAAGCTTCTAAGGGAAAAACAGATAAATAAAGGTGAGGTGTAGAGATTGAAATGTATTTCAGACAATCAAAGAAATGAAGGAAATATGTAAAGTATACAGAGAAAGAGATTTGTGTGGAATGAAAAATATTAAAGGAGTAGATAACCCTTGATTTTTCTTTTGTGCTTGGATAAAATTTGTTAGTAAGTTATGATTTGGGGGGCGAGGGTGGAGGAAAGTTGTTTTCTTAATTTAGCTAAGAGACATTATCTGCTTGGAAATAATGCTTTCCTCCATCACTGAAAGAAGTTCCCAGCTCATTTGTTTGGACTTACAGAAACACTAATTCTTTGGAAATAGATTGAGTGTTCAAAATACATAATACAGGAAGAGAAGCAGTCTAGCTGAAAGATGTATGAGTTAACTATTAACAGTTATAATTTTCGATTTATTTCCTTATTAGAGAGGTCTGATGAAATGAGGATAGGGACTTGTTAAAGCTTGTAGATGCTGTCACTGACTCATATTCAGAATCTAAACAAATTACACATCCTTTAAGAAAATACCATTCAGTTTTTGTCTGATGTGATCAATCAGATGCCTCCCTTTTCTCAGGTTAATTGATGTAAAAAGACAAAGAAGCTTCAGGGACTCTTTCCAGTTTGAGTTCCTCAAGAAATCTTTCCTTGATTAACTCCTTCCTAAGTCTGGGTTGGAACCCTTGCCTTATGTTCTCTGGCACCTTGATGTTCCCTTTTATAACTCTAATTTCAATAAGGTATATCCCTGCCTGGTCTTACTGGTAATACTATATGAGTTGTTCTGGGTCATTCAATTCAGTGGTAATTGAATGCCCACTATCTGCCAGACAATGTTCTGGGTACTTTAGATACTACAGAGAGAAAAAGAACCCTGTTTTCCTGAACATTGTACAGATAGATAGCAATAAACAATAAGCATATAAAAAAGGAAATTAGATAGTATGTTAGCAGGCAATAATGCTATGGACAAGAAGAAAAAGTAGAGCAGTGAAGGGGAGTTGGGAGTGTGGAGGCAGGGGGAGAGATGCAATTTTAAACAGAGTGGTTAAGGATAGGCCTCATTGAGAAGGTGAATTTTAAGCAAAAATTTGAAGGAGTAGAAGAGTTAGACTTGTGGATATCTGGGGGAAGAGCATTCCAGCCAGAAGGAACAGCCAGTGCAAAGGTCCTGAGGCAGAAGACTGCATGCTGTATTGGAACTGCAGCAAGCAGATGTGTGGCTGGAGTAAGGAGGCCAGTATGGAGCTAAGTGAAAGCAGGGAAGAAAAAAATGGATGATGAAATGGGAGAAATAATTGGACACAGGATACTGGATTATGTAGGGCTTTATCTGCCACTAAAGGGTTTTTTTTCTTTAAGACAAATGAGAAGTCTTCATTGTCAAAGACAAGGAGTGACATGATCTGTTTTTCATTTTTAAAGAATCACTCTGTCTGCTGTTTTCAGAATAGGCTATAGTGAGTCCCAAGGATCACTGGATGTATTCCAGAAACGTGTGGTTATAAATTGTCAATCCCTGTGATTTTTTAAAATACTTTGTTTAAATATGGAAATTTTTTGCCTTTTTTTGATAATTACTTTATCAAATAGGACTGACAGTAGTAGAGATGCCAAACTGTAGATATAGAAGAGATTTTTTTTCTCTCTATAGGTACTTTCTGATTGTATTATGCTTGAAAAAAAAATCAGTATAGTAGGTAGGAGTCTTGACAATTGGGTGTTATCCAAGAAATGCTTAATAAATGAGGCTCTACATTGGGCACCGTGTAGAGTACTGAAAACCACTTACTGCCTTTTTGCTGTACATTTATATAACTGCCGTTTTACTTATAGAAGTCACTTTGAGTAATGATGATTTATGCCCTTTACAGTTTGATTAAATTTAAAGGAGACCATCTTCACAAGAAGAGTGAAAACCAGAATTTATATCCTCAGGCTATGGAATCATCTTTTCAGCCTTTAGCCTAATAAAGTCCTACTTACTTAACTCCTTTTTAAAGAAGGAGGAACTGGGTAGCTTTCTAGCTGTTCTCGATTTAATTATTTGAAGTGTTAAGAATACAATTATAGGCATGTCTTTACTAAAATGTAATTAAATTTGCTTTCCAGAGACTAATACTGTAGAAATTACATGGGTATCTATTAATGCTCCTTTTGGGACTGGCTTATTTAAAATGTGCCCATGTACATTTTCCTCTAACTCCTTTGTTCAGTACTTTTAAAAGTTACATATCTTCCATAAGCATTCAGTAACTTTGCACAATACTTGCTTTTGTCTGCTGTTGCGAGATTTATTTAGAAAATCTTTCTTTATGTGTTGAGTGACAATTAGTTATCGTGGATTGGTCTTTGGGCTGCATGGAAACAACATACAGTGATTAGGTTAGTTCTGCCATGAATAATGTGGTGCAGTTGACTTAACTGGGGCCTAGCAGCAATGCTCGATAGTTACTACTGTATAGACTGATTGATCTTATGTACTTACATAATGTCTTACCAGTCTCTCTCCGTGTCTGGAAATTTTAGTGATAAAATGGTTGTGGTCTCTGGTGGGGAGGGGATTTGAAGGGGATTGCACATTGTGGAGAATTCTAACTAAAAGTATGCTTACTCTCGGGCCGTGCAGTCAGTAGTCTTCTGGCAGTGTAGGATTTCCTAAGTTTCTGGTAACCATTTAAACGCAATACTTGTCTTGAAATTCATGTTTGCCTTGGTAATACTATTAACAGCTTTGTGAACTAGCACAGACATTAGAGGGTTAAGATTTTTAGGTTTTCTTTCAAAGACAAATCAAGATAGGTTCTAGGTAGAATCATCCAGAACAATTTTTCCTTTGTTTACCTTTTCTCCTTAAAAATATTTTTGAAATTTGAGAGAATAATCCTTTTACTATTCAGTGTTGTAAAATGTAATTATTTCCAAAGCAGTCTTAAAAGACAGAAGTTGGATTCTTTCTTCATCTTCATCAAGCCCGATCCTTGCAAATTGTCATAATTGGTATAATGGATATGGCGACCATTATCCCAGATTTTCTGGGGGAAGTCCTCATTTCACAGTATCAACCAGTTATTCACAACATTCTCATATTTGTCAGATTATGTATCAGTTTGGGGTTAAAAAAAATACAGTGACTGTGATTAGGATGGAATATGGCAACATTTATAAAATTAAAAAAAATCAGTTCTCTTGATTTAAATTCTGTGTCAGCTGGAAGAATTTGGAGGCAGTATAGGCTGTGATTTAAGATCATGGTCTCTGAGATCAAACAGTTTTGGATTCAACCCCTGACATTATCACTGTTTTAACCTTGAGCAGGTTACATATCCTTTTTCTGTGTTTCCCCATCAATGAAATGGGAATACTAATGGGACTTATGTTATAGACTTGTTGGGAAGAGTATATTGTGAGACACGGGCATAGGAGACAGTGCATGGCACTGAATAAGCACTAATGCCTCTGGTTATGCTATGTTGAGCTTGGAAAAATCTCTTAAATCAGAACAACTCTTATGAAAACATTTCAACAAGTACAGTATACCCTCTAAATGACATTTAGAGCTTACCCTTTCCTCAAGGCAGTATAAACATGCAAGTTTTAAAAATAGGAAGTGCTAAAATCTCATTTATGGTTACATCTAGGCTAAGTCCTATTGACATTCGTGAAATTGAGAACTGACCATAGCAGCCAAAAAGGAAAATTAGGAAACAGAAACAAATTTTAATTCTTCTTTGAGGAAAGAAAGTAATAAATATAGTGATGTGTATGTATAAAGAGAGGTCATACACATATATACTAGTTATTTAAATTTACTGGCTTGGTTTCTTTCCCTCCAAATTTATAAAAAAATAGAAATGAAGTGAAATCAGCATTTTTTATAGCTGAGCTGATATGTGTTATTCAGGCTCAGGAGTGGGTAATGATTCTTACAGCAGATAAAACCTAACCTAATTTTTAAAACTGCTCCCTCTTTAGTACTGATTGTGGTTTCTATGTTCCCATAGCCATGTAATACAGTAATGAGTGGGTAAGGCATTGCATCTAGAATATCCATGGTGAACCTGTTGGACTTGAATGCAATCATTCCCTAATCTTACGATGTAAGGACAGGATAAGTAACCAGCACCACACCTGTGAGGAGAAGTTCTAGAATGCCTCATCATGCTTACAGATAAAATATGTTCCTCCTTCCTTTAAAGCAAATGCAGGAATATTGTCAGTGAACAGTATCCTTTTACCAGTCATTTCTGAAAAGAGAGTTATAATTTGAAAATTTAAAGATACTCCTATTGTAGAACCTACAACTTGGAGGGTATAAAATGAGGTGAAATTATATTAGTGGATTTAAAAATATGGCCATGCATTTAGTTATACTATATACTTCTCATGCAATAACAACATTTTTTAGAAAACTGATACGAACACATATATCAGTCTAATCTCCATCTTTGCTTTTTTTTCTTTTCTCTAGAGAATCTAAGAAAAGACATCAAGTAGGAACAAGTATAAACATTTTTAGAAAAATAGATGGCAAATGCTAAAGTTGTAATAGTGATTGTATGAGGGCCCCCCCCATGAGTAGTTATTAAGCTTTTAGCTGTCACTTTGGTACTTACTGAGTGGCCTTTTCTTAAAAACTTTTAAAAGTCTTACGAAGATCAGAGCTTTCTCAGGGGTTCTGGATTATTTTGTAACTCTCCATTAATTTCTAGGTATCTGGTGACCCATCTCATGGGGGCAGATCTGAACAACATTGTGAAATGTCAGAAGCTTACGGATGACCACGTTCAGTTCCTCATCTACCAAATTCTCCGAGGTCTCAAGGTACAGACAGTATTAGTAATAATTTCGAGGAATAAATTCCCTCTCTCTCCCCATCTTTCCCTTCAGATTTAGGGCTTAAGGAAAAACAAAACAAAACTTTTCGTATGGAAAATTTCAAGTACTCACAAAACCACAAGTATAATCATAGTATAATGAACCCCTGTGTTTACTCAGCAACCACATTTACCAATACATGGCTAATCATGTTTCTTTTGTATTCCTCCAAACCCTAGATTATTTTAAGGCAAGTCTAGACATCATTATCATTCTACCCATTGATACCTGTGTATGCATATCTGAGAGTTAAGGACTCTTCATTGTTACGTCTACACAATAATAATTTCTTGATATAGTCTCATATCTAGTTATTGTCATGTTGAAACTTTAAAAACATCCTCAAGGAGGCTAATTTATTTGTGGCAGGGGCAAATAAATAGTGTTTTATAATTAAACCACCTTTGATATTTTGCAGCTTTGAGTCCTTATTGGTGCTCCAGAGCATCAACCAGAAAATAGGTTGAAAGCTCTATTTCACTAACACTCCAGCTCTATGAATAGAGTTGATGATATGGAAATCATAGTTATGATAAATGTACAGACTACTGATGATCACTTGTTATGATTTCTAATCCCACTGTTAATACTAGCATTTCTTAGTGATGCATGAAAATGTACTTCAGATATGTCATATAATATGACAATAGGAGGTTGGAGATAACTTTGTTTAACTGACTTTTTTCTCTTTCACAGTATATACATTCAGCTGACATAATTCACAGGGTATGTTTTGTGTTTCTATTGAATTATTTTGGGCAGGGTGAAGGTGGGGAGACTGGCATTTAGCCAAGATCCTAATCTAAGCTAATTTTAGCCATTGAAATATTGATTGATTGCAGCTTTGCTCTAGGTTTAAACCAGTTAAAGAAAGATGATGTATAGTTTTTACCTATTTAAGGTTAATTAGGACTAGACAGTGACTGTAGGTTGGAGATTGTCTGTTTATAGCTGGATGAAGTCTTACTTTGATGTTTGGATCTTCATCATTACCTTTAGGGGGAGGATTTACCAGGCACCATAAAGCTGATCCTATTCTCTCTGTACTTGCTTCCTAGGACCTAAAACCTAGTAATCTAGCTGTGAATGAAGACTGTGAGCTGAAGGTAGGATGAAATGACAGTGGTAATTGTTTGTTTCACCATGTAATTATGTGTTTGACTAACCAGGCAAATTTATATAGGGAATGGGTTTATAAAGCCATGACTTTTTTATCTAAAAATTCATGTTGTCCTTAGGAATATCATCAGACTTTGAAATTTAAACCATAGATTTAGCAAGCTTTAGTTTGACATTGAAGGTAGCATCAGGGGTCTTGTTTTCATTCTGAAAGTTAAGTTAAAAATTTAATATGTTAGTCATAATAAAGGAAAATTACAGTATAAATATCAAGCAATCCTCTTCAAGAGATAATCACTAGTTTAAATTAATTTCTAGGAGAAAAAAAGGGCAGAAACCCACTCATTCAGAATAATTCAAATAAGAGATAATTGTCTATAAAAGAGCAAGCAGCTCTGCAACTTTCTCTTTGTTTCATTTCATTTTTTTACTCAACTTTTTGGAAACATAATTTAAGGAAGTCCTATGAACTTCCCTCTTAGGACTACTTTTGCTGCATCCTATAGAATTTGTGTGGCTGTGTTTGGAAACATAATTTACATATAATAAAATGCATCATTTTAAGTGTACATTTGACAAATTTATATATCTATGTAACCACCAATACAATTATGATAAAAAACATTTCCCTTACTCTGTAAAGTTCCCTTGTGCCCCTTCCTAGCCAGTCCTTATCCTTCTAGCCCTAACCCTGGCTTTAGACAACCACTGATCTGCTTTCTGACACTTTAGAGTAGATTTATCTTTTCTGGCGTTTCATATAAATAGACTCATACAGTATTTTTGTATGTATATCTGACTTTGCTTAATATAATATTGAGTTCCATTTGTATTATATGTATCAATAGTTCACTCCGTTTTATTGCTGAGTAGATCTACTTTATGACTATACCACAGTTTATTTATCCATCTATCTGTTGATAGACATGTGCTTCAATTCCAGTTTGGGGCTAGATAAAGCTGCTCTGAGCATTCATGTGCAGGCCTTTGTGTGGAACACGTATTTTCATTGCTCTTGGGTTACTGTCTAGCAGTGGCACTTTTGTTTTCCTTTCTGTAATTTTATTTTTTAAAGTTCTCGCTGTGTTCAGTGTGCATTCTAAGCATGGACGAGGAAATATGTTTATGAAAGTGCTATGTTGTTCTCTCGTTTTGTAAGACACTAGAGTTTTTTGTCTCCTGCTTTGTAAGTCTTAGGAGGTTGACTATTCCAGAGACTGATTTCTCTTCTCTCCCTTAGATCTTGGATTTTGGACTGGCTCGGCATACAGATGATGAAATGACAGGCTATGTGGCCACTAGGTGGTACAGGGCTCCTGAGATCATGCTGAACTGGATGCATTACAACCAGACAGGTACTACTTGCATTTGTTGTTTAGGGCCTTACTAATACTATGTTGGGTGTATTTGGGATTCTCAGAAGTAGACATGGTAGGAATGGGAAGAAACATTTTTTTCTTCCCTCAGTGATCCTTTTAAAGTCCACAAATGGGAAATATGTCAGTTGCTCAGATGGAGAAATGGGGTTTCTGTGTACAGGTTTCAGATTTTGTGATTTAGCAATTGGCTTTATACTTATTCATATTTTCAACATATTCTCCAAGTACTTTTACCTGAAGATATTGGGTTCGTGAGCCTAACCTCTCAATATTGCTTGGGAGAATCCACCATTTGTACTGATAAGAAACCTTTGCCCCTTTGTGAACAGCTTCTTTCTCTCACCATAACTATTCTGACTTAGCCCACCTATGAAGCCCTTTAATGGGGTGAAGGTGTTAATAAGCTTATGTATTTCTATAAAAATGCATATGTTTGTTGAACTTCAGATGCCTTAAATATTAATTGAGTATTTCGCCCCTAGTTATAGTTTGATTTGTAGCCAAGTCTGATTATAGTGACACTGTGTGCACTTTTATTTCTCTTTAATTTTGCCAGTTGATATTTGGTCAGTTGGATGTATCATGGCTGAGCTGTTGACTGGAAGAACATTGTTTCCTGGTACAGACCGTATCCTTTAAAAAGTTTTGGATTCCCGTTTCTTGTCTGTATTTTAGTGTCCATGGAGGTATATTACTTTTACCTTTCTCTAGGAAGGCTTTCAGTTACTTGCTTTTAGAGTCCAGATATGCAATGTGAGATCTGCCCTCTTGCTGAGTATCTTGCCTTGCCAAGAGAGAGGCTTCAGTTTACTTTTGTGAGTCGGAAAAATTCCTCGCAATCTGGAAAACCCTTTAAATCTTTCATATGTCATCTTTTTTGCAGCAAATCCCTTATATTAACTTCCCACAGCCGTTCTGTGACCTGAATGTCTTCCTGAGAAGTTCTAGATCTCCATGACTGATCTCAGTGAGCACAAGAAGCCCATTTATAAATCAAGGATATCTTGCTTTTATGTTCAGTTTACATATTAAAAAGGCTGTATTTAGACCTTGTAATGATATACCTGCTGACTTGTTATGTTTGTTGTTTAACAACAAGTAATAAAAGCAAGAAGTGATAAGGTCACCCCGTCACGTGCCGTTTTTTTCCCCCTCAGCACGACTTTATTTTTATCCCAGCTGGTAGCCAGACCTTAATTTACTTTCAGATTTATTGTCGAGTTCTTAGTTTTTTCATGGCCCTTTCCTGTCTGCTGCATGCCTATTTCACATTTTAGTACTAATACCATCAAAATGTGGTTTGTTGTAACTCCCGTCAGTTCCACTTGGGGAAGATGTTTGGGCAAGAAATAGTTTTGAAATGTATGTCTATAATTAGATGTGAAGAGTTTTTTAAGTCATTTGACTAGCCCTCAGTGGGCTTGGTTAAGCTGTTAGAGATGCCACGAGTGCCTGTGTTCTATCATGGTCAGAGACCTGAAAGCTGTTTTAGCCCTTCACCTAAGCAAACTCACCGAGTTTATAAATCTGAATGTCAGTTTACTTACTTACAGTTGAGTGGTGACTGATTTTCATGTTGTCTATCCACATATTCTAACTATCTTCCACTAGAGAAAATGTACTTTCGTAATGAACTGAAAACCTCCTCCCTCAGGGAAAGCCATGTATTTCACTCTGAATATTCCCAGATTGATGTGGAGTACAGTCTCCTTATACTTAGCTCTCCTTATTCCTCCTCATCCCCAGATTCTAATTTTAATGCCTAGTGTTTCTCCTTTGTCCTTTGCTTCCTTTACCTTATACCTGTTTCTTGGAAATTTGGCGTATGCATAACAGTCCAAGCTAAGAGAATTAGAGGAAATCTGTAATTTTCCTTTTTCTTTTCAGGTGCATACCTCAGAGTCCCATTCTTTAGTCTGTCCTCCTGGGCACACTGCTCTGATGCTATCCTCTGCTCCCCTGCCCCTGCGTCTTCTGTACCTCCATCTACCTTCAGTCAGTCATAGACATTCATACCCACATAGACACAGAGAGAGAGACAGACAGCAGAGCATACTGCTTCAGAGCACATGCTCTGGAATCAGACTTCCTGGGTTTAGATCCGACTTAGCTCTTTTACTCCCACCTGTGTGACTTTGAGCAAGTTGTCTAACTTCTGTCTCTGATTTCCTTAACTATAAAATACTATAACAGTACATACCTCACAAGGTGGTTATGAGAATTCAGTGAGATGATATCTTAGAACAGAGCCTGCCAGCAAATGTTAACCATCATCCTCGTCAGTGATCTTTGGGAAGCTGTTTCTCCCTTCATCTTCCCACTTTATTGTCTACTTATGAATCAATAAAGGCTGGTTTTTGTTTTATTTAAACTTTGTAACAGGTAGTAAAGGATGAATCCCCTTGGCAGACTACTGGTAGAAAGGTTTCAAAGCAATTGTGTGTGCTCTCTGGTCCTGTCTCAAAGATAACTGCCTACAGATGATTTGGCCCTTTTAAAATGCCAACTCTCAGCCTCTAAGAGTTCTTCGCTTTTATGTGTACTTCTTTTCCTTCTATGAGCTTTAGATAGAAAATAGCATTTAAACTTTTTACTGAGGGATTCTTTTTTTAATATATGAGAATTCATGTCAAACTTCTTATTTTAGTAATACACCATTTCTTTTCTACTTGGCTCTTTTTCAGACAGATGTTCTCCTGGATCGGAAAACTCAAATTCCAAGGATTTGTATTTGTATTATACATAACCCTCTTCTTGTCAGTTGCCATCTGTGTGGATGTAGCTTTGATTGCCTGACAAGGGGAGAGGAAAGTGTTTTCTATACTTTTTCTTGCCTGAAGTGTACAAATGCTTATATTCTAGCATATTGATTCTTAGCCCTCATTGTGCATCAGAATACTCTGGGGAACCTTTAAAAACTCCAAATGCCTGGGTACCACCCCAGAGACTCAGCCTCAGTTGGTTGTGTGTCAGAGCACAGGCTTTGATATATTCAAATCCTCCGCTGAGTCTAGTGTGCACCTGATGTTGAGTACAACTAGAATCTAACCTGGTTGACTTTTAGTTTTAACCTTTCAGGCTGATTCTGGAAAGGTCGTTAGCAATTTTTCCTCTTTTTTTTTTTTTTAAGGTAGCAGTGAGATCAGAAAAATTAAGAATCTAGAACTATCCACTGGGGGACCTAAAAAAAACATTAGAAAACATCTAATCGAGCTCCCTGTTTTTATAGATGAGGAAGGTAAGAACCCAGAAAAGATAGATACAAGCCTGCTATCTGTGACCCAGGTCACATTTCTTTCCAATATCTGTATTGCCAATTCCTATTTCTGAAACTCCTTTTCTTAAAACCTCTGGAGTATGTGCTGGCCCCACACAGTCTTCCTTTGTCCAGAAAGGCATGCAGCTACTGCTTATTTATGGTTAAAAATGCAGCTGCAGGCTCTATTTGAGTGAACAGTTTTCTCCCTTTTCTCCTGATTTATTATTCATCTTGCATTTGAAACTGGTGGTTTTAGCTTCAGATAAGAACTTTCTGTGGTCTGGCAAATGGTTTATGTATGTACTGTCCAATATGGTGATTGGTAGCTACCAGCCACATATGGCTATTGAGCACTTAAAATGTGGCCTGTGGAACTTAGAAACTGAATTAAAAATATTTTTGTGGTAAAGTGTATTAACATAAAGTTTGCCATTTTAACTTTGTTTTTTCATTGTGGTTAAATAAACATAACATGAAATTTACCATTTTAACCTTTTTAAAGTATACAGTCCAGTGGCACTATTACATTCATAAAATTTTGCAACCACTATCAGAGTATATCCCAAACATTTTCATCACCCTAAACAGAAACTGTACCCATTAAACAAAAACTCCTCATTCTTCCCTCCCACAGCCTCTGGTTATCTCTCTTCTACTTTCTGTCTCTATGAATTTGCTTATTCTTGTTAAGTAGGATAACACAATATTTGTGCTACTGTGTCTGGATTATTTCACTTAGCATGTTTTCAAGGTTCATCCATGTTGTAACATGTGTCAGAACTTCATTCCTTTTTGTGGCTGAATACTATTCCACGGTATGGGAAAACCACATTTTGTTTATAGATTCTCCTGTTCGTAGATACTGGAAGTGTTGTCCCACCATTTGACTATTGTGAATAGCGCTACAGTGAACACTGGCCTACAAGTATCTTTTTTAACTTCTATTGGGTATATATTTAGAAGTGGAATTGTTGGATCATATTATTATCTTTAACTTTTTGAGAAGCAGTCACTGTTTTGTTTAGCAGTTTCTCAAATTTTACACGCCCACCAGTGATACTTGAGCAATTTCTTCACAGCTTCGGTAATACTTGTTCCTTTCTCTTCTCTCCTCTTCTCTTCTCTCTTCTTTTCTCTTCTTCCTCCTTCCTTCCTCTGTCCATACTTTACCCATCTTTTAATTGGTTGTCTTTTTGTTGCTGAGTTTTAGGTGTTCTTTATATATTCTGGTTATTAAGCCTTTATCAGATATATGATTTGCAAAATATCTTCTCCCAATCAGTGGGCTCTCTGTTTCCTTTTTTGTTAATGTCCTTTGATACACAAAAGTTTTAATTTTGATGAAGTTCTAGTTTATCTGTTTTTTTTCCTCTTGTTCATGTTTTTGGTGTCATTTCTAAGAATGTATTACCAAATTTAAGGTCATGAAAATTTACTGTATTTTCTACTAAGAGTTTTATGGATGTATCATTTATACTTAAGTCTTTGATCCATTTTGAGTTAATTTTTGTATGTGATATGAAATTAAGGGTCCAACTTAATGCTTTGCATGTGGAAGTTAAGTTGTCCCAGCATCATTTATTGCAGAGACTGTCCTTTCCCCACTGAATGGATTTGGCGCTCCTGTCAAAGATCAGTTCTATCCCATTGGTCTATATAGCTATCCCTATAGCAGTACCACACTGCTTTGATTATTGTAGCTTTATTTTAAGTTTTGAAATCAAGAAGTGTAAGTTCTTCAACTTTGTTCTCATTTTCAAGATTTTTTTTTCTCTTTGGACTCCCTTGTAATTCCATATGAATCTGAGGATGGGCTTTTCCATTTCTGCAAAGAAGGCTGTTGAAATTTTGATCAAGATTGCATTGAAGTTTTAGATTACTTTGGATAATATTGACATCTTAACAATATTAAGACTTCCTATCCATGAATATGAGACGTCTTTCCATTTATTTAGGTCTCCTTTAATTTCTCTTAGCAGTATTTTATAATTTTAAATGGACAAATTTTTCACCTCCTTGGTTAAATAATATCCTAGGTATTTTCCTAACATCTTTAAGATGCTATTTTAAATGGAATTGCTTTCTTAATTTCCTTTTTGGTTTGTTCATTGTTAGTGTGTAGAAACACAACTGATTTTTTTTTGTTGACTTTATACCCTGCAACTTTGCTCAATTTGTTTATTAGCTCTAGTAGCTTTCTTGTGGATTCTTTGGTATTTTCTGTATGTAGGATCATGTCATCTGCAAATAGAGAAAGTCTTCCCAATTTAGATGCTTTTCTTTATTTTTTTTTTCTTATCTAATTGCTTTGGTTAGAACTTCCAGCTCATTGTTGATTAGCAGTGGTGAAAGTGGGCAGCTTTGTCATGTGTTTATCTGAATTTTAAATTTTATTACATATTCTTTAGATTTCATTTAAATTTAATCACATGTGATTACTGGTATGGTATTAGACCATGCAGTTTTAATCTCTGCAACCTTCTTATTCTACCTTTGTCTTATTTTTTTGTGATTAGTCTTCCTGAGGGAATCTTTTGTTAACCAGTTGTTAACAATCCCTGGAGTTCCCCTGGAGATACACTCTTTTGTCTTAAAGCCAATTATATTTATTAAAGTTAGAAATTATTCTTGTTTGCAACTTTGCAAAAACCTTCCACATAGCTCAAAAATAGTCCTTTTTTTTTTTAAAGTAGACCCCTTCCTTATAAGTCTGGTTGACAGGGTGTGTGTATCAAGTGGACACACCAGAAGAGAGCTTTACATTCGAAGAGAGTGAGGATACAGAATGTCTCTTCAGGTATAGTGCTAACTTATTTCAAAAACTGTTGGTTTTGAAAAGAATGAGCCAGTTGGACAATGTTATTACTAACAATTAACAGTCTGCAGGCCAAGGAAGAGAGAAAATGAGCTTTGTAGCCCTGTTACACATCAAATACTGTTTTCTCCTCCAGAGTTCTCAGCCTTGGCTCACTGTTATTTTCCTTTTCTAGGTAATCAAATGAATTTCCTTCTTGTGTAAATTTTTTTCCTTTCATTTTAATAGCAATAGTACTCCTGAGATATTAACTAGAAGATCATGAGGCTCTTGCCATCAGCTTGTTGTCCTACTCCATAGGAACTTTCCTTGTGTATTAAATTTGCTCCTTAATTCTACTTTATCCATTTCTTCTTATTTTTAAAAATCAGTCATACTCCACACATTAAAAGCAAGTGTCCTAATAAATGTTGGAGAAGAAAAATATTTTATTAGGTCATTTGCCTTTTCTTCTCTAACTTGAGAATACATTTCCCCAGAAAAGGCTAGAAATCTCAGGATTGTCCACAAACCTAAAGTACCTTAAGAAATCTTTTTGTATGTGACAGCGAAAATGACTGTTTTAATGAGCAAAAAGAGAAGGAAGTAGGCTGAGTCCCATTCTAGTCCATCCTGTCTGTCACCAGGAGGGTCTGCTAACCCTCCACAGGTCAGCGTTCCAGTTGACCCCATGTGGGTTTTTTAAATTGAGAACTGCTGCGCACAGGCAGCACTGGTCACAGGCAGGTTCTGCATATGGTTCTCTTGTCCATGTTCAGCCCCCAGCCTGCAGGGGTTTTCTAGGAGTTGCCTAGAGCACGTAGAAGTGAATAGAATATCCCTCTTTCACTTTCCCTCTGAATACCCATTACCTTTAAGTGTTTTTCCTCATCTAACTCCTTCTGGCTACCTTTTACTTTTGTTACAAAAGACCGAGTCTGTAGAGTAATCTTAGGCCTAAGTTGTTGTTTTAGGAAGAATCAGGAGACTTATGATTTTAATTTTGACATTGTGATCATTAAAACACATTTTTAGCTAACAGTAAAAATATATGCTATCTAGGAAAAAACAGGGTTAAACCTGTAAAGAACGATGGCTTGCTGTGGAAATAACTAATTGTCATAATGTGGTAAATTTTGCTTTGCTCTGCTTATATAGCTACTTGAAGCTCCTTCTGGCCTTAACTGCCTGGACAAATTGTAGTGGCCTTACAGTAGCTGGCATTATTGGAAGACTGACCTGTATTTCAATGGATTTGCCAGCTCTTGGAGAACCTATGGTGATTTCTTCTGAGGTTTGCATGCTTTGACTTCCTTCATGCAAGTGCTTTTAACTACTGAGTAGATTTTTATTTTGCATTGTGTGTTTACTAATCTCCTAAGTATTGGCTGTCATGCTGTACCAACTCTCTTTATCTATAGCCCTTACACACTTATTGCACTATTTTGTACACTCTTTATGGCGTAAATACTTCAAATGGAGTGTTTGCATATGAAATGAAACAGCTTTTCTTGACTTCTCTTTTTGTATGTAGACTTTCCAATATAGTCATTCTAGATTTTTGAGGGGCAAGGTGGAGGGGTGGAGCTGAGTTGAAAAGCATATTACAGGAAGTCTTTTCAAATTAATCAACATTTATTGAGCTACTCAGTGGAAGGTACTGGAGATAAGGTGGTACCTGTCCTCCAAACCAGAATGATCATACTCAGTGGAAAGTGTTTTAGGAGTTACTTAAACAAGTGTCTACTCTCTGATCATAAAACAAGATGGAGTGATAAAAATACTATAATAGAGGTGTAAATAGATTATTGAGAAGAAGCAGAGAAAATTCAAACTCAAGATATCCAGGAAGACTTCATGAGAGAGTTCTTGTTTGAACAGAACATTGAGGAATAAAGAAGAAGAGAAAAGATTTGGTAGGAGGGGAGGATGGAGGGTATTCCTGTTTGTTACTTGAATAAGTAAGAAGTTGGAAGCTTAAAATTGTCTGCATTATCTGGTGTGAGTTGAAGGACTGAGTGCATTAAGGAATAATAGTCTGAGAGAGAGTCAGAAAAGAGACTTGATGCCAAATCAGGGAAGACCATGAATGCGAGGCTGAGGAACTGGTGCTTTATTCTTCAGGCCTGAGATTGTTTCATACTGGCTAAGGTGGGAGAAAGACATGGGGTACCCCAAATCATTGCTGTAGTGCCCACTGTGACCCGGGTGGGTAGCATACTTTTCAGGTATGTTGGGGTAAAGTTGAGAAAGGCAGTTGAGAAACTCACAGCCCAGAGTCTTCTGTCTTCCTCAGAGGGAGTATAAAACTTGAGTCTCATTTTCAGCAGTCAGAAGTCTCTTCAAGAGTACCAATCTCAGCAGCATTATTTCTAGAGATTAGATTTGATATATATATATTGTCAAACTACATATTTGAGAATTTAAGTGGTCTAGTTTTAAACTTTTTTTTGACAACATCTTGAACTAAAATTGACATTTTAACCTCCAGGACACATTGATTTTTGCCATTTGCAGATGACAAAATTCTCTACTATTGATTCAGAAGTAAGTTCTGTGAGTGGACTTGCTTTAGTTTATCCTTGTTTTCTGTAGAGCCTAAGTTGTTTGGGTCTAGGATGGGGTTCTGCAAACCTTTTCTTAAAGGGCCAGATAGTAAATCTTAGGCTTTGGGAACCATAAGATTTCTGTGGTAAGTAACCACTCAGTTCTGTGGTGTAGGATGGAAGCGGCCACAGACAGCACGTAGACAAGTGGGCGTGGCTGTGTTCCAGTACAACTTTATCTTCAAAATGGGCGGCAGGTTGGGGTTTGCTGACTCCTGTCTAGAATTTTCTTCCATTTAAGCCAATTTCATCTGGGGCAAGATACTATTGCATAACTTAATTCCTGTAACTAAGTCAACTATGGCTTCCAGAGGCCATTATTTTTAAGTTACACTGTCCTGCCTTCGTATGTATAATCATAAACAGAAATATGTTCTTCCATTCTCTATCCTGCTGTACCTTCTCAAATATTTTGAGTGCCCACCATGTACCAGATGTTAGGCTAAACACTGAGGATAAATGGTGACCAGGCAGAGTGGCCTGTCTCCTCGTGGAGGTAACAGACAGTAAAGCAAACCAAGTAATTATAGATTGTGATGAGCATGGTGATGTTTTCCAGCATCGTGTGGCGATAGAGAACAGCAGGGAAGCCAAGCTGGAGGGCAGTGCTTCTGTAGAGTGTTGTGGGGAAGCCCTTCTGAGGAGGTGAAGTTTAAGCTGAGACCTGACACTGAGAAGGATCTGATCCTTCAGGAATCAGAAGATAGTCATCTTCTCCTCCTTTTCCCTCTGAATATCAATACAGACAAGGACAAACTATGCAAATTTTCACAGAGAATATTGAAAGGTATTTGATAAGATTTTTTTCTCTTAGCTTTTTAGGCAAGTCTAAAAGCAGTAAGAACAAATTGAAAGTTTGTGTCTTCTGGTTAATACATGCACATATTTAATATACATAGAAGCGTTGACTACCACAATAAAGGTTTGGGCATTGTGGCCTGTTATTTAGAGCTTTGGGGATATGTGAGGTTTGTCAGTGCATTTATAAGGTTGAAGCCGCATGCAAACTGTGTTACTATGGAGCTCCTAAAGAATGTGCAGATGTAGTGGGTAGTGGGGCCCTCTGCTGGCTGACTATCGCTCACAGTTCTCTGCCTACCATAGCCAGTTTAGATGGAGAGGTTTTCTGGAGGACATGCTCAAGTGGTTGGGCCCCGGGATCTTCACAGACCCCTGTCATATTACAGGCTCCTAAGGTCAGGCATTAGGAGAACATTCACGGGTAGGCTTGTACATCCTTGGCTCCTGTGCTCTCTGCTTTTTTCCTTCTCTGTGGCCCTCTGCTGACCAGTGTTCTTTGCTTGACTGGCTACTGATGCTTTGGTGGATGGTGAGGAGGTAGGTGCGAGCTGAGCATATGGACTGTGTGAAGCTTTTGTGTTTTCACACGCTGTCTTTGGCAGCTAAGTACCCAGCTACAGTTGCTATACTTTACTGATAGGGGGTGTTGATAGATGCACAAAATGAATATAAGCCAGACATGTGTGTGGTAGCATTTTGAATCTTTGTACAGGAGGAGCATGTTCTACTTGAAGTGACCGTCCTGCAGAAGCCTTGACCTAGATGAATTCACCATTTTGGCTTGGTTTGGGGTTTTTAATTTTTGTTATTGGGGTACTTTTGTTTGTTTGTTTTGTTTGTTGTTGTTTTTCATTTTTATTTTGTCCCAACATTTTCCTTTATAGTCCACCATTAGATATTGATCAGTTGAAGCTCATTTTAAGACTCGTTGGAACCCCAGGGGCTGAGCTTTTGAAGAAAATCTCCTCAGAGTCTGTGAGTTAATGCTTTGATTGTAATTATCTGCCCTGTTGGGAGCCTCTGCCACTTGCCTTCCGTCAGTCTGTACTTTGGCCTGGGTATGTTTGTAAGCATGTGCGCCCTTTGTGTGCTGACCTCCAGGATGAAGTGTAAGAGTGTGTGTGTGTGTGTGTGTTTACCTGCCCGCTCACATGCATGAGTGTGTTTTGTTTCTTCTCTATCTGGGTGTGTAATACTAGATCATGGAGCTTGTACTGGGTAATAGTATTCTAATAAATGAGATTTGAGATTCTAATTCATTCCAAGAGATTAATGGAAAATTTCCTGTCTCTATCCTCCAGCCCTGACTTCATCTTTCTCAAAGTTTCACATAAGCTCAAAGGCTCTTTTCACTTTTTGGTTAGTGTTTGTTCTCAGAGCATGAGCTTCACCATGTATTAATATAGCTTTATCACTAAAAGAATGAAATGTGCGTTGTTTGCACTCTAGTGCCCTTTCCAGAAGTTACTTGCCTTTTATTGTTTTAGAATAGACAACTCACACATCCTGTGTAAGGTGTCTAGTCCTAGCAGGGGCCCCTCCTACCAGTCTCCAGACTATTGCAGGTAACAGCCCCACTCTCCTGATATCTCAGATCCACGGGAGTGGGGCTGTAAATCCCTGAAAAGCCATGGGAATGTGACTCTGGTTTACTTTGGTTCTTATTTCCTGTTGTTGGTCATTTTCTTGAGCCAGAGACCTGAGATCATAATAGCCCAGTCTTTCTCCCTTTTCCCTTCTGTCTGATGCCAGGCAGTTGGATAAAAGGGAAAAGGAGCTCTGGAGCCAAGCTCCAGTTGTGCATTCCTGGATTCTCCTCCCAGCGTTTCTGACTGAAGGGGTACCTTTGCCCAGTAGCCAGAAGCAGGCTTGAGCAGGTGAGTTTGAACAGTTCATAATCTCTTTGACAAAATAAAGATTATTGTCATCTTGTTACATACTTTCCTTAAAAGGACCACAAAACCCAGTATACTTACGAATTTCCACTCTGGCAGATGTAAGAAAATGTGCTGGCTCTATTTTGTTTTGTTTCTTTGCTTATTTAAGATGAGGAAGCAAAGGCACGGAAAGGCTGTGACTTGCCCGAGTCATGCACTGAGTCAACTTGGCAGACCTGAGCATAGATCCCAGATGTTCTGATAATATGGGGTAAACGTTAATCTGATGTGATTGCACACTGTTTGGAAAGTCATTGTCAGAGTTATTGACCACAATGTCAGCCTGAAGGAGTGTTTTCTTTTGCTTTATGAAGTGCAGAGGCTGAGTTGGAGTGAATCAAGGAAGATGTGGGATGATGCCTAGAGAATACAGTGCTTTTTTGTTTTAAATCCATTTGCTTAGAAAGATTGGTTGATAGAGAGGACATGGGGGCAAGAGAGTGGGGCTGGGAAGGAGCTCGGTTTAGTAATGAATCTAATGGATGGTGCTTATGAGACCAAGATAGAAACTCCATTCCTGGGATGGCTACTAGCAGCTCTTTCTCAGTCTTCTCACCCACCCTCAACCATCTGCCCTGTAGATATGTGCTGTTAGTCACAAGAATTTCTAAAAGGAGAAGTATGGGTAAAAGGATAGTATTTACCTATCATTAATCCATCATTTATTTTTAAGAAAGAAACAACACTAACTGCCTGACCTTATAATAAAATGTCTATATCTTATGTGAAATAAGGCACGTCACCTTTTTCAACAGCTCTAGTATCGAGTTGGGCATAATAAAATTGAGTACCAGCATACAGAACTTACTCACAGAACATTGTATTGCGTATGGGGAAAAGAGTTTTATTCCCCCCCTACATAGTTATGGCAAGTGCATAAAAGTAGTTTAAACAGTCAAAGGGGCAGACAAGATTGATTTCATGTTAGTGAAATACCAAATACCAGTTTATCTTGAAGCACATGATATGTGGAACACATGATGTGTAAATAGCAAAGCCAGATGATTAAAATTGTTTAAAGCTTTTAAAAATTAAAACAAAAATTCATTAGTTAAAGAATGTAGTAAACAGAGGAAGCCAGTAGGTTTCGTTACTCCTGGAAAGTAGTGAAGAAGTGATGCCATTATTTATTGATTGATAGAAACTCAGTCAGTAAAAAGAGTAGGACGTTCTGAGTAATAGATTGCAGTAATAGATGGACAGACTGAGAACAAGTTACCATGTGCCATGAGAAAGGGCATAAATAGGTCATGATGGATGGCTAAGGACAGAGAACTTTTTTTTTCTTTAGGTTGGTGACTCAGTACCTATAGTAATCAATGAAAGGACAAAAAAAATCATATTAAGAAAGCAAAAGCCCTTTCACTGACCCACTCTTACATTTTTCTCTAGAAATATATTCTTCCTAACCTCCTGACAAGAAGGGGATATAGTAATCTATTTGACTAAAGGAGACAATAACAGAAAATGTACCAGCCAAGTTACTGTTCACAGGAAAGAAGAGAGAGGTGGCAGGATTTTTAACATTTTAAAACCCAACTGGTATTCAGCTATTGCTGGTTTACTTAGTGACCACTTTTTGTTCTCTCTGGGCGTGTTAAGTACTGTTTGTTATGTAATTTACATAGAGGTAAATCTAAACTTTTTTGTGAGAATGTTAAAAAAACTTTATACCACCTTTTGCATTTGTTGACCTCTGTCTTTGGGCCCAGGGAGCATGAAAGGCTGGGTGGAGCTCATGGTCCCTACCCTTCCCTCAGAGCCAGCCTTAAACATGTGTTTGTAGTAATCTGGCCTCTAGGAAATTTGCATTCAGGGGATGAGCTAAGTAGAAAAATTATTGTGGGGAGCCACAAACTAGTGGAACTGCTTGATTAGGGTACTTACTGAAGATGAATCTACAACTGAAGGAGGGATTAATAGGTAACAAGAAGGAGTATGAAAAGGTTCTTGTGTTGAGGATTTAAAAAATCCAGTCACTTCTGCTTTAATAAGAACACATAATAAACTAACAGCTCTTGTAATGTTTGAGAAGGGGGATGTGTTAAAATTGATGGGACAGCTATAAAAGAGGGGTTTGGAGTACAGCTTCCTTATATGCTTGTATATTTGGAAGACCTCATAGTTCTGCCCTTGTCAGATCTTGCAGGGTGTTTTGCCAGCTTCCTCCCACCTGTTGTTAAGTGAAGTCAGTCTGTTAACTTGTTAATGAGACTTGTGGTAGAAATCACTGTGGCATGCAATAATACAGTCAGCAGCCAGTGACTTCTATTTTGTCTTTGCCATTAGCGTCTAACTTTCCCCCATCTCCCCTTTCTTCACTTATCGTTGTGTGTTTGTGGCATGTATTTTAAATGTACTGCTACTAATGTCTTATCAACCCACACACCCACCTAGGTCTCACATTAGAAGGGGTGGTACTTTGGGGAATCACCAGAATCTGTGCTACAAAAATTTAACCTGTACCTTTGAATGAATATACCGGACATTTTATTTTGTCCACAGTTGAGTCAGAATTTCCTGAATTATCTCCATTTACCCCACAAACAAACAGATTTTGGCCATCAGTGCTTGAAAACAGTTCTCTGGCTGGCATCCTGGATCAAGGGGCAGTCTCTTTCCAGGGAGCCTAAAATATTTAATGTTAAAGATGATGCTAAAACCAAAGAAAATTTTTCCTCTCTGCATGGTCGTTTACTGGCTATATGCCTACTAACTTTCATGCCATTCTCAGAAGCATGCTTTAACATGTGGCCTTGGGCTCTGGCCTGGGGTGGGTGGGATGGGTGGGGAGTAGGGTTCTTTTGTTTGTTTGTTTGTTTGGGGGTGGCTTTTTGGCCTCTTCAAAAACTTGAGTTGAAAGTTATATTTTGCACTGTGTGTTTAACAATGCCCTTGACTAGGCATCTAAAGATATTAACCAGCTTCAGCAGATTATGCGTCTGACGGGGACTCCCCCTGCTTATCTCATTAACAGGATGCCAAGCCATGAGGTGAGAACAAATAGACTGTACAGGGATATCTAACTCAGAAGGCCACATTCTCATTTTATTGTCACTGTATAACCAACACAGTTTTTAATGTCACCGAATGCTTGCATGTGCCTTGGGGGCTACTAAGGCAGTTTACTGCCTATGTGCTATTACAAGACGTTGACATTTGGGATAAAATGTCATCCAATCCTGTGGATTGAGAGTTTAATTTATAGGCTTGTACATAGAAAATGATGTTACTTTTATATGTGAGCTTTATGAATTTAGTTCTCAAGAGGAGTTTCGTGTTTTCCTAAGGTTCTATGCCTGCAGTTAGGGCATGCTACCATCGAATCACCTTTGGCTGGACGTGGATTAGCTGATGGCCTTTATCTTGCTTTACTATTCATCCATTTTTTTTAATGACCAAAGAGGGGGTCTTCATTTAAAAAAAAAACATTAAAATATCCAAAGCTGTTAGTACTGTATTTAAAATACACAAATAATATAGGAGACATAAGAACACTTAGGTAAGGTTAGGTGCCTTCTTTACCAGTGATTAACTGCTTAATCTAACTCTAGTTTTGTCATCAGAGATGATTGGGTCACTTCTTTTTAAGGTGCCCTTAATCTTTTTGGGAATCAGGTTGGCAACACAGAGGCCCTTCCCAGCAGCTTTGTTTCTATGTCAGCTGTATTCAGCTAGTCTTTTTATTTACCTTATTAGAGGGATGACTGTTCTCTGCATGAGACAGGTCTCTCTTACCTCTGTTTTCCTTTCATTCTCTTATCTACATTCTCAAATAAGAAGGGATTACAGCCATACTGATACTTAATTCCTAGAGCTTTCTTTTCAGATCAGAAATTTATATAAAAATTTATATAAATTTATATTACATACATTTATGAATTTATATAAATAAAGGATAAAGAAGGTAAAGTTGCCCTAGCAGCCATAACTTTTCCTAACCTTGTATGTGTGTACATATACATACATACATACATACATACATACATGTACACACATGCATATCTTTACCATCGAGCTGTATTAAAAACACGAATTTGAAAAAGGTACTTAAGATAGATTCAAAGAAGTTTTATCTCAACTACTCAGATGGACTGATAGTGGGGTTTATTCTTCGAAACAGGGAAGGTCACATAGACATGGTTTAATACCTAATATCTGAAGCATGCATGTATCAGTTACATTTGTGTTTATACGATTATTCTCAAGACTATTTTTTGTTTTTGCCTTGATTAGAGTTATCATTCCTTGAAAGTATTTAGCACTGTACGTTCCTTAGAATGAAGTTCAGAAATAATCAAGTGGAAACATCCTTAGAAAATGAGAGCAGGCTTCCCTTTCTAAAGGCGGCAGTAATAGAAGCTAAATAGCGGCTTGATCTCGCTCTGAACCAAGTACCGTCCTAAGGAGGTGTTGGTTTGTTTCTCTAATCCTCACTCCAGCCCTGTAGATAGATAAAGCCCTTTTTTTAGATGAAGAACTCAAGACTTAAAGTAAGTAACTTACCCAAAGTGATAGAGTCAAGATTCAAACTCAAGCCTGTCCCACCCCAGGGATCCAACTTATAAAAACTATATTGGCAGTATAAATGTTTTTTGTTTCAGAATTTTAGTTGGAAACTCTTTGATGATTTTTATCTACCTGAATGTCACAATAACCAGATGATATAGGCAAGCCAAATACTAAGATCTAATACTAATACTTTACAGATTAGGTCATTGATATGCTAGTTAAGACTTGCCCAAGAAGATTTAGCTTATAAGTGACAGGGGAAGGATTTCTGTCTAGGCCATGTAACTTATAATCCACTCTTCTTAATTACTCTTATTAAATTAGTTTAGTATTTTTAAAAATGTGCTCGAACCTCTCAGAATAATATACTAAGCTTATGTTTACTTTCTTGTTACCAAGAGCATTTTGTTAGCAAGGTTTAATGCTGATATCCTTTTGATACACTAAGAACACCTATTGAGATTAGCACCATAAAAAGATTGTTGGTCCTAGACTTTGTTTAGGAATACTAATCCCTGTGCCAATTTCAGCTTTTTTGGGAAGGCTGTCTCAGAAAGGGCTACTTCTTAGGTATCTTGGCCTCATTTTTTTAAACTTCTGATCCTATGACTAGAATGCTAATGAAAGGGAACTTAGTTGGTTTGCATTCTCGTTCACTTGAGATGTAACTGTGAGAGAAGAACGGCAGGGGTAAGTAATGGTGATGATCAGAAATGAGGCAGTTAGGATGGCAGTCAGAGAGGAGTGTTTAATGAATATCAGACATTCATAGACAGTGAAGCTGCAGGACTCTGTCAGTTAACACTTGCTCCTGGACAGGACCAAGACTCTTTGAGAGCAGTAATATTATTGAAAAGAGCCATTTTGAAAATCCTTTGTTTTGCAGGCAAGAAACTACATTCAATCATTGACTCAGATGCCGAAGATGAACTTTGCAAATGTATTTATTGGTGCCAATCCCTTGGGTAAGTTGACCATATCCTCATCTCAATGAATATTGAATTGGTTATGACATAAATTAGGGATTTGAGGAAGTTTTTCCCTTATTTAGTCCCTATATTTTATCCCTAAATATAGTGCCATTAATTAAATGTTGGAAGGTAGTAAGTAATACCATTTAATATCTATGTTCATTAATCTCATGACCTACTTATGTATTTCTATGATCACAGAATTTGATAGGGACGTAGGCTGGTACAGCGGAGAAAGTAATGGGAATGTTGGAGAAATGATTGAGGGGCACAGGAAGAAAGAGGTGCAGAGGAAAGCCTGTGACTCATTCACTCATACCTTGTCCCAGCTGAGGGTGAAAACCACTGAAGCACAGGTGGGTGTTCAGTGGACCCACCGGGGCACTCCCTGCAGTGCGCTTCCCAGTGCTCAGGTCCTGTAATCCTCATGTACTTCTCCCTCCGCTTCTTCTCCTTGGGCCCTTCAGAGACTTAGCCATCCTCTCTTCTTTGTGGAGCTAATTTGCCAGGTCAGACTTTAAGGATGGCTCCATATTCCTTCCCCCACCATTACTTCCAGGGTCTTTGGCAAAGGGACGTGACAGTGGCAGCTTCAGTGGTGTATTGCCTGGGCTAAAAAAGGAGTTGCTTTATCCCTTAAAACTGGGGGCTGATGTGTACTTCATTTGGTCCCCCAAAAGTGGCATTGCCTGATGCTCTAATTCCCTGACTCTAGGAGAACACAAGGGACAGTGCTATTTCATGGGAGACAGAAAAATCAGAACAGGACCTCCCTATGATGGGGAGGGGAACAGCACTATGGTATTGGTACCATCAACCTTCTCACTTTTTTGAAGGTTGTATCTTAGAGGTATGTTTTTAAATCCCAGTTTGGATCATCCCTCTGCTGAAGGGTCCCAGCAGCTGTGCTCCAGGTTTAGTTTTATCCTCCTGAGAGCTGACAGCCATGACAGCCTCTTCAGAAGTTGGAGTGAGGGCCAAGTGGCTTTACCTTTTTGAGTACTTCATCCATAGTGATTGCTGAGAGCAGTTTCAGTGTTACTGTGATAGTTCTTACAATAGCAGAGATGCTCACACTCACGTTCTTTGAAGTGTAGGGCATTTATGTATGAGTTCATGTTGGCCTTGGAGGTGGAGAGTATGTCAGATCTCAGCTGGTCACTCTCACATCTAAGAATAAATCCACAAACTCATGAGAGGAGTACAGAATTCTACTGGGGTTGGTTTAGGTTTGCATCTGCCCTGGTATGTTCTCATTGATTTTGTGTGATGTATTTGTGCCGTATTATCTAGTTCAGGGGTCTGTGAGAAGCGTTCTTTGCGTTGTAGGTACTATAGGATGTTGGGAAATTAGGTTGTATGCTGGTAGCTTTCTTGTCTGTCATTCTGTTACGAATTTTTTTTATCATATCAGCTCATGTTTTAGACATGACAGTGCTCACTGTCTGTGACTTCCTGATAGCCAACTCAGAGAGATTTGTTCATACATTTTTCTGGGGAAGGGGAAATATGTGTGTGTCCCAGCAGCTGATTTAGGTCACATCCATCCTGATAGATGCCCCCCCTTCTTTGGAATTATGACCTGTAAACATTCAAAAGAACTGGATACCACTTGGCAATATAGGCTGCGAGTGAGCTGAAGGAGGTTTTGGGCTATCTGCTGCTCAGCACTGCAGTTCTCAGACTTTAAACAGGCCTGACAGTGATGTACAGAGTCACTTCTTGCAGGCAGAACACAGTGTTACTGACCAAGAACTTGTGCCCAGCATATTAACTGAGCAGGAATGCACCAATGATGTAAATATTGATGTCTCTGTTTTGTCCGTCACTCACTTCATGTTTCACCATTGTTCTTAAGATATGAAATAAAACTTAAATTGCCCTTTGATGTTGTGTATGTGTATCTGTCAGGATCTTAGAGGAATCTTTTTCTTACCCTAACCTTTTTTTTCAGTCAAGGTATTGGATATAAGGACATGGTCCTTTTTACCCTGGGGATGGCAAAGACCCATCATATGATCCAAACAACACCTGATAAGGTTATTTTTTCATGAAGAGAAGAATGTACATCTAGGCGATTTTCCCAGTGCTTTAAAGTGTAAACTTACGTACTTGACTTGACACATAAATACTCACTTTGTTTCTATATCTCTCTGAAACCCACATCTCTCCTTTGGATTACTCTGGATTTCAGGCTGCAGGACAGGGGTCTCTTACAGCCTCCAGTGTATGCAGCATAGATCTTTTCAGCAAACAGTCTTCCCCTTCACCACCCATCCCTGCCCTCTTCCACTTTTAAGGAACTGTTTGTAAAGCCTCAGATGCCTTTGTTTCAGCAAAGTGATAACTGTGGTCATGGCAGTATTTGTCTTCCCAAAGTGCCACCATTCTGAAACTCAGAACGTTTATAAGATAGAATTAGAAAAAACACTATTTTGTGACCCCTAATGAAGTACTTGCTAGGAAGGAAAGCCAGTGGATGGTAAAAGCCATAAGTGAAAGAAACTGATACTCACCATGGTGCTGAAGTCTTGTTTGGGATAAAAAAGAAACATCTTAACCCAGTGGTCAAATTCAGTATCATTATTAATGGGACAGATGGCCTTAATTTACCATAAAGTACACAGCATCACCTGTGAAATATTCTTGCCAAAATTTTTAGATCCAACATGGTTTACAGAAGATACAAGGGATAGAGGAAAACAAGGACAGAGATAACACAATAGCACAGAGAAACAATCAGACAAATCCCTAATGATGAGTGTTTTCAAGACCACTGGAGGGTCTTTTCAGGTTAAAGTTAGGGGAAAATAGCATCCAGAGGTTGGGGGGTTATTCTAGAATTAAGAGATACAAAGGAAACTCAGTCAGATGTTGTGCATAGCCCTTGATTGGATCCTGGGTTGACCAAACTAGGTATAAAAGACAATTTTGGGACAATCGGTGAAATGTTAACATGAACTGGATTTTAGATGATTTTTGGGAATTACATACTTGTCAGATATAGTAGTAGTTTTATGATTGTATAGGAAGCTGCCTTTATGCTGAAATATTTAGCAGTAAAGTGTCATGTCTGTAATTTTAATTATAGACAGCAAAAAATGTATACATAAAGAAATATAGAAGCTTAACTATTGGATATGGATGGTAGGCATATGCGTATTCACTGTCCTATTGTTTTGTATACTGACATTTTTCATTCTTTTATGCAGATACCATGTCTCACCCACACACCCATATAAAACCCTCAGTTCATTATTTGAAGATCCATTTGATGAATATTTATTTGCCTTATGTTAGTCAATAAACAGTGAAGGGGGACAAAAAGGTAAAAAACAGCAACAAAAAAACCCAGCTCTCCTTTCTCTTCTAGATCGTTTTACTTATGAGCTTTCATTTTGACAGTTTGACTGCAGTGGTAGCAATTTGACACTGACATTCCACAAAAGCTCGTTCAAACACAATCTCAGTTATTTTTAAAAATTCTTCTTTAGTAATGTATTCTTAAAAAATACAGAATCAGTCCATCCATCCAGCCATGCATACACACACACAGGCTTGCACGTACACACACATGTATACGTGTAAAAGAGGAAAGGAGTAACGTATCCTAGCGCACATGCTCTGGTGGAGAATTCTTTGGGTAGGAAGGGTCAAATCTGTGTGTTTGCTGTTAATACGGCCTAAATTTTTGGTAACATTTTAAAAACTCTTCTTTTTCCTTCCAACCTGTGGTGCTGATAGCTGTCGACTTGCTGGAGAAGATGCTCGTATTGGACTCAGATAAGAGGATTACCGCGGCCCAAGCCCTGGCACATGCCTACTTTGCTCAGTACCACGATCCTGACGATGAACCCGTGGCTGATCCTTATGATCAGTCTTTTGAAAGCAGGGACCTCCTTATAGATGAGTGGAAAAGTAAGTCATAAGGGCAGGATTAACATCTAGCTTGAGAACTTAGATTTTAAAATCTTCCCTGAGTGAGCCACTAACCAGAAGCCATGGGGAGAAAAAATTAAAACTTGTAATTAGGATCTCTAATGCAGAATGAATATGTTCATCTGATGAAAACTGTCTGTTGTAGATGATGACACTCTGGACCTTTGAGATGCTTCTGTCTGGTCTGATTTAGTGCATAGCCCCTCATGCCTGCATAGAGCTTTGAGGTTCGCAGAATCTTTGCATTTACTTCATCTGTCTGAGATAAGTAGGGAATAGGGTGTCTTTACAGTTTTATAATTGATAGAACTGGGGCAAAGGGAGTTTGTATCTTACCTATTTCTCCTTCAGACCTAGTTAAGGACACAGCCAGAAATGGAACTCAGGCCCAATCTTATATTCTTTCCATAAAATACAAATTTAGAATTCCAGTTAAATCCCCAAAACCAGGATTATCTGTTGCTATAATGCATGGGAATGCTGTTTCTCTTGAGCATCTTCTCCAGAGAGCTTGTAGAGGAGGCCCTGAGTGATGAAAGGAATAAGAAAAAATGGTTCTTTTATATGTATCCATGGAGGTACCGGGGATTGAACCCAGGACCACGTGTATTCTAAGCATGCTCTACCATTGAGCTGTACCTCCCCTCTTACATGTATCCTTGAACATCTCTGTAATCACATGTTCCATTAGGGTATCACATACAAGCAATGAGGCAGTTATTTGAAGTAGCCCCTCGAACCACTAGCCCAGACAGGGAGGAAGGATCTTGAGCTTAGAAGTTAGGGTGCTTGCCAGCAAAGTGTATAAATACTCACATCCTGCTTCTCCTTCCCAATTTCTAGGCCTGACCTATGATGAAGTCATCAGCTTTGTGCCGCCACCCCTTGACCAAGAAGAGATGGAGTCTTGAGTATCTGGTTTCTGTTCTGTTGGTCCCACTTCACTGTGAGGGGAAGGCCTTTTCATGGGAACTCTCCAAATATCATTCAAGTGCCCAAGTGCCTCTTGTTGCAAAGATTTCCTCCGTGGTGGAAGGGGTGTGTGCGTGTGTGGATGCGTGTGTGTTCTTGTGTGTGCGTGTGTGTGTCTGACTTTGCAGGCGGGCAGGAGAACATGAGCAGACTGTGATCATGGTGACCGTACTTGGAGTCACAGGTCTCTGTGTGGCAGTCTGTGCTTGCTCTTTGTGTGAGTCGGCTGGGCAGGCAGGAGCTGCCATCGTGTTAGGGTTTGTTAAATGCAAAGTAAAAGCTATTAAACATCCCAGACCCCAGTCATGCTTTGGCTGTTTTGGCCTCTCCTGTGGCCCCACCTTGAAGGTGGGGGTTAGTCTTGACCACACCCCGCAGTGGCACAGGGAGAAGGCTCACCCCTTCTGGCTGCTTCACATCTGAAGCCGTCCCTCAGCGACGCATCAGCCAAAAAGGACCAACTGGCTTCTGTGCACTAGTCCATGAGGAACCTGCTAAGCGTGACTCTCAGAACTCAACAGGTGTACCTGAAACTATAAATATGTTTGTGCCTTAAAAGAGAGAAGAAGGTGTGGTTAGTTAGGAGGGTACAGCAGATGAAGTTCTGAGGCAGGCAAGTTGTCAGTTGTCGGACGGCCACTTGTGAAGCCGAAGTCACCAGGGAGCCTTCGGAGGCACTGTGTGTGCATGTCTGAGCATGCGTATATGTGCTTCTCTCTCTTCCTCACGCCCCGACCCCCAGGTGTCATTGCCATTTCTCTGCTCACCCACTTCAGTGCAGAGGTTCCTTCAGTATTGGCCCCAGTAGTCGGAGGCTGGGTCTTGCTGTCCGTGTACTTCCTGTGTGCTCTTTATTCCCAGCAGAATGAGGATGTGTTTTGCACGTCTTGCTATTTGAGCATGCACAGCTGCTTGTCCTGTTTCCTTCGGGAGGCCCTGGTGCCAGGCGAGTTTGCCAGTGGAGACTTCGTGGGTAGTTCAGGACCCATGTCACCTCAGCGGATGTTGTGGGCAGGTGACGCCACCCTCTCTTCAGCCCCCAGTGCTATTTTGTGTTGAACACAATTGATACTCAAGGTGCTTTTGATGTGAAAACTATGAAGAAATTAAACAGATGGATGTATAGCATTTTCATTCTTGCCATCTGGTTTTCAACAAACTATTTTGGGGGAGCCGTCAACCAGAAAAGATCAGGGTTTTTCCCAGGAATATCTCAGACTTTGGAAAACAAGTTCTCTTCACGTCCAATAACCAATGCTAAGAAATACTGAAAATCAAAGTGAAAAATAAAAAGCTCATGAGGCCAGAAACTCCTTTTGCCATCTTTGTCTAAATATAGTTATTAAAAAGAAAAAAGAAGAAGAAGTAATGAGGTATTTTTTTCCACCCTTTGGAAAAGGGTCTTCTTGGCAGCTTAACATTGACTTCTTGGTCTTGGTTTGGGGAGAAATAAATTTCATTTCAGAATTTTGTATAATGCAGGGATCGTATGAGAATATGATTCTTTTTGATGGGGAAAAAGGGCAAGTTATTTTAATATTTTGTATTTTCAACTTTATAAAGATGAAATATCCTCAGGGGTGGAGAAGAGTTGTTTTCATAATTTTCTGAATTTCAGGCATCTTGTGCTACATAAGGGCCCGTATAGTTAAACCTTTTGTGAAATAGAAAGCATAGAGCCACGTCCAGTGTTGGCTGTGTGTCCAAGTCTTGTATTTGGGCCAAGGTGTTTCCATTTCTCTGTCACAGTGCAGTGATAATGTGCACTCCAGAGGGACAGGGTAGGACCCCCAAGTCAACTGGAGCGAGAAGGAAGGAGGCAGCTGATGGTGATCACACCTCACCCAAGATTTGCCCCCTCTTTAAAGGAAACTGAACACAAAGGCCTCATCTCCTTTATATGCAGTTCACATCCTCATAATCCACAACAAGATGAATTTGATCAGCCATGTTTTGTTGTAAATGCTAGTGTGATTTCCTACAGAAATATTGCTCTGAATATTTTTTTCATAAAGGTCTTCTTTGCACATAAGACCATATACGTGTTAGGAGGCCGAATGCTCCAGGAGCCCGGACTCAGCTGGAGCCTGTGGAAGAGCTCCCTGGTTTCTGAGCTAATGCTCCCATCTCCTGATTTCTCTGAACAGAAAACAAGAGAGAGAATGAGGGGAAAATGCTATTTTATTTGTATTCATGAACTTGGCTGTAATCAGTTATGCCATATAGGATGTCATACAATACCACTGGGTAAAATAAAGCCTATTTTTCAAAGTATTGAGTTTCTCAAATTTGTTATATTTTTCTCTTTATTGTTTTTATCTACTGCACAATATGGCATTATACTAATGGTCTTTGCGCTGTGGCCTGGCATACATTTCTGACAGATCTTAATATTACTCCTAAAATTTGGAAAACATTTGTAGAGCCCCTTAGTTGTACACTTTATGGTGGGGCAGAAATAGTTTGCCAACCCCTGGCCTTGGATTTCAATTTACTCATCTGAAAAATGAAGTTTGTTTAAATATATGTGCGTCCTTTTCAGCTTTGACATTCTAAGACTATGTGTAGAAAGTTACACTTTTATGTTAAAATTGTGGAGACAAGGTTGGATTGTGTATGTGGTTTATAGACCTCTGAGCAAACATATCTGGTGACTCTTATCATATGACCCTTGCAATCGTCTTCAAAACTACTGCATTGCATCACAAGGTTAAAGAGCCACAAGGTCTCACGGTTGTTTGTGGGGCCAGTGTTGGTGTCATTCCTTTCTCTGTGGCCCAGGCATGCTGACAGGTGTCTGGGGATGGTGAGGCCCCGCCTGTGGGTATAGGGAGTGTGCGGCAGGGGTTTTCATCCTGTGTTGTCTGGTCTCTGGCTGGCAGCTGGGAGTGATGGCAGGGATAGGGGCAAACCAAGCACAGGCTCTTCATCCTGTCCTCAGTGACTTCCTAAGGGGATGAGCGAAAAGGGAGCCAGTCATGTGTGTACATCAGCCCCTGTCGGGATCAGACAATTGTAGGAGATAGTTTGCCTCCACATACCAGAGTCAGCGCCATGATGCAACCTTCCACCTGGCTTCAGAGAGCAGAGGGCCTGCTCAGCTCAAGGAGAGAGTTGACACCAGGAAAAGCTCACCTGAAGTGAATCCACTTAAAATGGGGACCAGAATTTGATTGGGTGTGTTGGGGATTTGGGGAGATAGGAAGTCTGATGGGGACTTTCATCATGAAAACTGAATGAAATTATAAAAGCTTATTCATAATTTCAATATATTCTTATAATGAACAAAGAAAACATCACGTTTGCCTTTTGAGTGAAACCATGTTTAGTATCCTATGGTATCCTTACTGTTTGATTTTTGCAGTATAGTCTAGAGGGAATTTTTGCAGAAATATTTGAGATCTTCCTCAGTTTCTTTATGGACCTCAGCCTTTTGATATTCACATTGTTCTTTTTTATAAGTATCTCTTGGTGACCACCTTATCACGTCTCCCTTTATTGTTAACGTCTGAGTCTGCCAGGTCCACATTTTTCAGTGTGTTTGCTTGAGATTTGAGCAGTTTTTTATAGCATTATTTGTCAAGTTTGAGATCCACTGTCTTGCAAGATTTGCAATTAATCTGCATTATATGTGTGTCATTTGTCATATGTTTACAATATAATCAGTTAGAGACTAACAGAAGCCTAGAATGAGTAGGACAGACACTCTGGGTTCAGATACTTACGAAGCAAGGAGGGGCTACTTTTATAAGTAGTCTGTCCATTAATGAAGGTTTCCACGTGATGACTTTCACTTCTCAATGCAGTCTCATGGCGACAGGACTTGGCTAATGAACATGCAAATAATGAAGACCTTTTAATTTATAGTTCAGGTATGTTTTAATATACATACGCTTTGAACTTAGCATCTATACTTCTCAGAACTTAGAGGCCTCACAAGTACACAACGAAAAAGTAAGACTATTACAAAACATTGGAATTAGCCCATGTATGTGTCAACAAGGACTTGATTGAATAAGGTGGCCAACTCTTAGCAACCATCTCTGGGTAGTGATAGATTATAGGAGGCTCTGACTTTTTCTGTAATTTCTGATAGATCTCCTCTTTTTTTAAAAACGCTGAACAATTTATTTTGCATCATTTCCCTAAGGACTTGCTGGCTGCTGCTGGCCAAGGAAGAGGGGTCAAAAGGGCACCAAAGTCCAAATCAGCCTCCACTGGGCACTTGGTGCCTTGTCTCACACAGCGCACACTGGGCCTCTTGCCCAGGTCCCAGCATCCCCCCATCCCCCGCTTCCTTATCATGTGGGGTAGAAATGCACCTCCAGGCCTCTGGAGAGAAGCGGGCTGATGAGGAGCTGCGGCAGCCACCTTTTCTCCCTTCAGTGCTTCCCTCCGCAGCTTCACGTCCCTTCCTCTCCCTCTCCATGGCTCGGCTCTAAATGCACCGTGTCTCCCAGTGCTCTTGCTTTCTCACTCTCCTGGTCTTTGTGCGTGACATTCCCTCTGCCTAGGATGCCCTGCCTCTCCTTCCCCACTCCTCTGGGCTAAGTTCCAGTGTCACTCTGTAAACCCTCCCCGAGCATCCCCAAGCTTGCTTTAGGTACGCCTCCTGTGTGCTGCTTTTACTCGCTGGCGTTGACCAGAGGCAGCACCTATCACATTGCTTTGTCATTGCCTGGTGTTTGTTATCACCTGCTCAAGAGAAAAAAAACATGAAGACTAAGAATGCAGGCTCAGGAACCAATCTGAGTCAAATCCTAGCCTATCTCCTAGTGATACAATCTTGGGCAAATTATCTCTCTGAACTTACCTCACAGGGTCATTGTGAGAATTAAATGAGTCAACGTATGTAAAGCCTGTGGCCTACAGAAAGTGCTCGATAAGTGTTAGCTCAGGGCTGTACGTCCTTGAAGGCACAGACTGTCTTGTGCACTATCCTGTCCCCATCACCTAGCATGGTACCTACCTGGCACACGTGCATCCAACCTTTATTGACTGAGTCAGTGAGTGACTATCATCTTTTAATCACTGGCAGATCATCTTGTCCTCTGCTTCCTGTTTTTACAGTTGACAATCTTTAGAAGCAAAGACCATCTAAAGAAAGAAAGTAACCAAATATGTACAGGTTATCCACCTTGTAGAATAAGGTGTTGTATGAAAGTTCCCAGTTTAAGAAGAGACAAGTGTTAAGAGGTTGAATCTCTTGGCTCCATCTTGGTGTGTGATTCAAGTTGGATGCACAGCAATTTAACGAATTGAAACGAGTCAAAAGATTACCGATGGTGGCTGATGGCCATGATCCAGATAGTTCCTGCTGCTCCCCCATCCATCTGCCATTTCAAAGTGGAACGATCAGGGAAAACAGAGGTGAACTGAAAGTCACTAGGGTGTCTTGCAGCCTCATTCAGCTGTTCCACATATAGCTATTGGGTAACTTCTATGTGTCAGACACCAGGAACGTGGGAAAAAAACATAGAAGATCCCTGCCCTCTTGGAGTTGATGTTCTAATGGGGGGAGACAGTTGTAAACGGTGACTGCTGTTTCCCTGGCACTGTAGAGCAGAACCTCACCAAACGGTGCTGGTGGCCGTTTCACATGCACCCATGAGTCACCTCCCTGGTGCCTGGCAGACAGGGAGTGGGATTTTTTGTGGGAGTCCTGGGCCTGTGTGTCCTCCCAGGTGTTACCTTGACCCGATCAGCTGGCTCCACTTGCAGGGCTGCCGACTAGCCGTCTGTTTCTGGTTGTAAGGTGTGAAATCATCGTCTGCCGCCACTACACAAAGGCTTGTTCCTGCCCCATCACTGCTCAGGCATGACACAGCTGATGGTCTGAGCCCTAGACGGAAGGGTCACACCCACAGCTCTGCCAGGTGACAGGCAGTGACTGTTTGATAATGGCTGCTGACAAAGTGCTTGTGGTGGGGAGTGTCCCCAACAGGAGGCTGTTCTGCCCCCAACAAGCCTCATCCTGATCCCTAGTCAGGAAACATCCCCGCCCCTCCCAGCCTCTCCCCAGCCTCGGCTGGAGGCAGGTGCCCACTCCGGGTATTTCTGTAACTTGCACCAAGATTACTGGGGTCAAAGCAATTACTACATTCCTTTTTCTAACTACATATTACTCTTCTTTTAGGATACAAATAAAATGTGTTTATTGTTGAAAAAAATGTCTAATGTAGGTAGGTAACACCCACTGTCCACTACCTGGAAATAATAGCTCTTGACAGGTTGGTTTAACTCCTAGAAAATTTCCTAAATCTGTAAAAATGCATAACTTTTATAAAAGCAGATGCTTATTATTCAGTCATCTGTGTCAATAAATGGTGTTGAAACAACTGGACATCTGTTTTTCACTTGTAGCCAAAGTCCTTTCCAGACAAATCAACGGTTTAAATGGAAAAGGGCACTTGAAGCATGTTGCAAAGCCTGGAAACCGTAACGGAAAGGCTGATGAATTTGACTACACAAAAATGATAAAGCTTTCTTTACTGGCAGCAGTTTGGCAGGATTTAGTAAGGGTGGAAGCTACATACCCCTATGACCTTGCATTCTCCTAGGTTAATTATTCTAGAGAAATTTTCCTAGATGGGCTTAAGGAAACGAATACGGGGACTTTTCACTCAGCATTATTTGTAATAGCAGAAGAAGGAAAAAAAAACTGGGACAAACCTCAAAGTCCATTATTAGGAGAATAGGAAGATAAATTGTAGTGCATTCATATGATGAAATAGTACATAGCAGGGAGAACAAATGAAGTAGAATGACTTTGCCTCCCCCCAGATTTTGTCTGTGTCCCAGGGACATTTGGCAGGGTCTGGAGACATTCTTGGTTCTCACACCTGGAGAGGGGGCAGTGAGCAACTGGCCCCTAGTGGGTAGAGGCCGGGGACACTGCTGTGATGCACTGGACAGCCTGGCATCCCCCTCCCCACATAGCAAAGAATTATCAGGCCCCAAATGTGAATGTCACTGGTGCTCAGACTGAGAAACCTGCGCTAGATTAAATCAACACAGGCAGATCTCATCAACAATCTTGAGTGACAAAGGAAACCGCAGAATTACCTAGTTTGACATTTCTACAGATACATGCATATGTAGCACAAGTAAAAAGCGCATGTGGGAATAATAGGCACCGATTTCCCAAATCTGGAATTCAGGCATTTTCTTTTTTCTTATACTTATTTCTCATGATGTTGGAACTGCCTCTTTACTGATACAAAAGATAAACAATACGGTGACAGTGTGTCCCCCTGTGGCTGTTTTATGTAGTCTAAATCCACAGCTA